GATCTCCACTTGCAACACAAACTTCATGAACAACACTTCCCTTCCAGGATGAAAGTTCAGTGGTCTTAGGCCAGGGTTGGAGGCTGATCTTTTCGGCTTCTCTTAGAGATACGGATGACTTGGATCTATCCCTCTCAAGGTTCTCCAACTCCTTGACATTTGTGTTGTACTCGTTCCTGAGCTTTTCGAAGGCTTCAGCTTCTGCTCGGTATTCCTGCTCTTCATCATTGGCACGATCTTCAGCTTGAGAGAAATTATTCTTGTAATAATCTTTCCGATCTTCCATCTTCTTCAACTCATCTTGAAGATTTCGAACTTCAACGTTCTTCTCTTGCTTAATCTCGTCCAACTCTGCTTTCAGTTTGGCACATTTCTCTTCACATCCATTCCGAGGCATAGCACTACTGGGGTACCCATGTAATGTAGTCGGTCTATTCAATGATGAAGAAGAATGAGCCTGGTTTTCCAACTTCAGGGCAGCAATGGTGCTTGACATCTCTTCTACCTCAGCAAAACGCTCATTAGCCAATTGATGCATCTCGGTCAAGTGGCTTTCAGGAATGGAATAGTCAGTCGCACCTTTGATCACGAGTCTTCTGTCGTTCAACATCTTGATGGACTTACCTGCATCCCTGTGAGCACGCTCAAGAGAGTCCTTTTGAGCTTCAAGTTCAGTATGAAGGCGAGCAATGGCTGTATCCCTGTCGTTGATTTCATTGTGCAAATTGTCGAACAAGTTACTCGTCACATTCGGATTGCTACTCATGTGATCGATCTTGTTCAGAGCATCTTGATACTTCTTACCAGTTTCATCAAAATGTTGTTGAAAGGTTTTGAGCAGGTTCTCAGTGTCAATGAGTTCAGTTCTGTTTTGCAAGTACAACTTGTCAACTTCGGCCTTGGATTCCTTCAAGCTGTCACGCTCACGCACGGCCTGCATATACATCTCGTATAGTGGTCCTCCATGCGGTGATCTGCTTGGCGAGGATCTTCTGGCTTGCTGACAGGAAAGTTCATGGTACTGATTCTTCGATTCAGTCAGTTGTTGTTGCATTCGATCTAAAAGACTTTGTTTCATGTGTAGTTCAGAACGTAGTCCCATTATCCTCATGTCCCGCATGCCACCCGATTCAGCTAGAGATTCTTCAGAAACCTTGTTCTCAGAAATCGCTAGTCGAGATTGTAAGTTTTCATTGTGGATCACCTGCAATCGAAGTTGTGATTCTTCCAAAGCTAAGTGATGCTCACACTCTGCATAGCGGTCATGTTCAGATCTTATGTTACTACGGAACTCCTTCATGATCTCGTCCCTCTTCATGTCAGCAGCATCGAGCTCAGTTTCCAGTCGTCTAACGTTCATGGACATGGTGTGCTTCATTGTCTGGTTTTGATTGGCAACCTCGAGCATCTCGATCTGTAAAGCACATGTTTGATCATTGGCGTAGCCGACCGCTAGAGCTTCTTGCTTGGCATTCATCTCTGCGTTTTCCAGTTCCAGTCTGAGTTGATTGATGTGAGCATTCGCATCAGCGCCCACATGTACCATAATTGCGCTCGCTTGTCCCATTTGTTCATCGAATTCCGAACGTAGTCGTGAATATTTGAATTCCAAATGAGATGCAGCTTCATTTGACATAGTCTGATACCTTTCCAACTCTTCGATCCTGTAGGTCGCACCTTCATCTTCTTGTTGTGCAGCCTGTAACTCGAAGTTCAGCATCTGGAGTTGTTCGGTCATCGACATCATCTCTTGATGAGTGGTGCTTTCCAGGAAATTAAATTGTTGATAGGCGTATGCTGTCGTCTCAGTTAATCTTGCCTGAAGTACGGATTCTTCTTCAGTAGCCTTTTCCAGTGATGCTTTGTATTCAGCTAACTCGCTCTGATAGGCAGTGAAGATGTCGCTACCACTTGATGGGGCGTTCACTTGCTGATAAGATCCTGTCCCTGATGGAGTAGCGTCCTGAATCGGTGAAGGCGGATTCGACGACGTAGTCTTTGCCTTAGTCCTTGGAGTCATCGGAGGCGACAATTGTCGTGCAGATGATCTTCTCTTTCCAGGTGTGCTGTCCCTATCTTCAATTGCTTGCATTGTCGAAATCTGTCTCCCTCTAGGAGCAACCAGAGGTCGCCTGGGTAGGCTTGTTCTCAGTTCTGAGGCATCGCTTCCACCAGTGTCGATACTCTGTGAAGAATTTGACTGCGTGCCGGCAGCTGGTGCAACGGCATGTCCAGAGAAAGAAAATGCATTATCGCTGCTATCCTGTTCAGTCATCTGTAAGGCCCGGGGCTACCCGCTCGTAGGCTCCGTAGGAGTCCTACGGCTGATAACCTGTGAATCGGAGGTTATCTCCCCGATTATGTACTGATGTTTGGTCTTGAAGTAGTTGTCTTCAGTGACGACGGCACACGAGTCGCGGCTTCAGCATAGCGATACTTTCTTCCGGTGCTGCAGTGGTCTTGAGCCAAAGGGGCAAGTTGACGCACCCCTTGGCGTTGGATCCTTGAGGGCTGCATTATGTGTGAGTGTACAGTGTTCCGTAGCCTACACTCTATTCGCATAATATTATATAATATATCTTATATATAATATTTATAACATATATCATATATATATATATATATATATATTATTGTGGTGTCCAAAAAGATAAAACTAATGAATCAAAGGGATGGTGTAGATGGACTTGCCGCATACTTTCCTGCTTTCCTACGTTTCTCTCTATCTAAGGGTAGAAAATTCTCATGACCATGTTGATGAAGTATTTTACATATCTCTTATTATTTATATTGCAACATTTTCATAAATCTCAGATGATATTCATGAATCATAATCAAATATCTCATATATGAATATATATATATATATGAATATTATATATATATATATATATTAATATACATATATCATATCTATACATATAGATATATATATATATATATGTACATAATTTGCTATGTATATCAAACATGATAAATATAAGGTTGTCCTAACATGGGGGCTACCCGGGTTGCTCGCCTTCTCTGCGCGGGCCTGACGGAGGCAAGGATTTCCATGCCAACTAAGGGCAGCCTTCGGACCTTATGGACCTTCAAAATAGGCAAAGTCTAGAGAAAATGGTTGGTTTCATAGCTTAAATATGCTTCAATAGATTTAAATAGCCTTCCATGTGTGAAGGTTAACTAAGTGAACTCCCCACTTTTGATCATTTTTGATGGTTTGAAACCCAAAAGACTGAGGAATACTCGCAGAAATCCCATACATCTCCTAAAATATCACCATAAATGTGTTGCTTCCCCCCAACTTCACATAGTCCCTGCGAATTAGCAATTTTTAGAGGAAGATAGTCTTCCATCCCCTGCCAGGGTCGCTAATTGAAGGGGTGGTATTGTAAGACCTATATTCCCATTACGCTCTGGCCATCAGCTCCAGGTCCTTTGAGGATTTCCGGACGTGTCATGTTGGATGGATGCGGATGGGTCATGTTAGCCAACATCAACACCTGAAAACACTGGATGTTCATCCCCAAGTATTATGACAAATGAAAGGTGTTGGCACATTCTCATATATGACATCTCGACCTTCAATTGAGTGTATCTACTGTAGTTCGTCTAATAAGAAACCATGCATCTATTGGGGGTCTGGAGTTACCAATGCATCAGTACCTTTTAATCGTTACCGATATACACATTGACTGTTGGCTAAAACCCTCACTATACGGCAGCCAGACGACAGATAGAAAAGCATGTTTTTTTTGGGGAAAACTGTGGTAGTTTACGTTTCTGTGTTTTTGCGGTTCGTATGTGTATATGGGCATGAATCAAAAATTAGATATGGGTCGTTGTTCGGGTTCCCCGATGATCTATGTGTATGGAACGGTGTGGATCACCTGCAGTATTTGTATCTGGCGAATGGAACGGATGTGGACCCCAGTGCCTGACCCATACCTTACATTATAACAATGCCGGGCTTGTATCAATATGAATTCCACTATGTAGATCATATCAAATCATGAATTTGGAAGACATAAATTACTGTAAGGTGTTGCCCCAGTTTGTTAGCTAAGTTGGTTTAGTTTATGAAAATGAACTTATTTGGGTTTATGGTAGATATATCGAAGTAAATGATGGGGTCAAACTATATTCGCAAACACGCGTGACTGGGGGCGAAACTCATTGCAGTAGTCATTCCACCATCATTAGTTCCTTGTGATGGGCATACTAACCTCTATTAAGGGGCATGACCATCACCGTTTGTGGGAAGGTCAATCATCAACATCATATCATGTCTCATCAAATCGTATCTTAGCATATCATAGACGTTTATTAGTATGCGATCCAGCTTTGGGTTATAGTTGGTTATGAAACATCGCCATAAACATCAAGTTCAAACTCTTTTTTAATGCTTACACCTGACTGTACCATGTAGTTTATCCGCTACTTTAGGGGAAAAACAGCCATTGATGTCATTTAGTATCAGTTTCGCATTAATGATATCACCATATTTATATATATATATATATATTAATCCAATGTTCATTGACATAGATAGTAGATCCCATATCAATTTTGGTAAAAACACAAAACACCCCCAACACGTCCATAAATGTATACACATCTCATATCAACACAATGCTATAATACGTTATAATATACAGTACAATACATGGTCAATCTTTGATAGTCCACAAAAAAAAAAAACTATGCTGGTTGGCTGGTTGGCTGGTTATTTTCCATTTATATAGCAAAGTTGGGGATGCAACACAATATAAAGATGTGGGTTTGTCTGAAATTTAGCGTGCCTCTAAACTCATTGGTGAGCTACATTTTCTCTATTAAATGGTATAAAATCATAAATTTGGTATACCCAATTTTACTCATTAGGTATACCATAGATAATTTGTCTGAAAATTGGGTATGATGATCAATTATGGGTATACGCAATTTTCAGACAGACCCATCCAATGGATATGCCCATGTTGATCCATGGAATGTGCAAGCTGCGCATGCCTTGGCTTCGCAGGTATCACAGGTGTGGAGCTTTCCCTGATTGGATGCATCCAAAGATGGGTGTTGAGCAATGGAAGTCTACGAAGAAAAACCACATTTGTAGATCAAACATGCATAGAAACGGAGGTTTGAGACGTGAAATCGTGTGGATTTGACCGAAACGTGATGAGTTGTAAAGGCAACATTTTGATAAAGGGATTCATCCAAAACAATCAACACTATGATGGATCGTGGGTACCCTATCAGACAGCAAGTCTGCCCCGAATTCAGTGAACTTTGCATCTTGCATATCTTTTGGCCTTTCGTTTCCAATCGTTCTTTCCAAAAAAGGATGAACCAGCGAAGAATCGTGAAGTCTTCTTTCCAGAAATCCAAGGGATAACTGGGATAACTTACAGGTCAAAACAAATGGTTACCCTCCGGCAATCAAACATGGCTGGAAAATCCATCATTAGATAATGCTCGAAGCTATAAACCTCCATTTAGTATAACTTGGGGATTTTCCAGAGGGTACATACCCTGAAATCCCTACAAGAAATCGTTGATATTTCCGTTTGAAATTCCATTCTATTCCCATAGAAATTCCCATTATATCCTCAATAAAATCACCATTCATGGTTGGTTATACCGTTATACCCCAAACATCTAAAGGGAATCCAAAATTCTTCCCTTCCCAAGTCGCGAAGTCCAGACACCTAGACCATGCGGACCATGGAGGCGGCGACAAGGGCGGAGGCATAGGAGACGCCCTGCGTTTGAAATCACCCAGCTGCAGCTGTTGCTTCAATCTGCCAAGAAATCCAAATCACCAGTTGATAGGTGGTAAAAAATCCAATTATTCATTGGGTTTCAACCATCCAAGATGATGCAGGATTTCGCAACCATCCACAGTAGGTAGCTTCAAATCTGGTCCAATCTTGCAATCTAACGGCCTTTCTATGGAGGCAAAACATATATAAATAGATCGTGTTCATCCATGTTCATTGCCATGTTTGATTGCCGGAAGGTATGCAATGTGATAGATGAACGATTGTTCAATCACTGGTTTATTTGATAGATTAATTGTGGTTCAGTATGGTTGAATCATGCATGTACCAATTGTTGAACCAATGAATTGCATCCCGATCGTTCCCAATCTATTCATCTAGTAAGTTGGCTTAGTCCATTTGGAATTACCATCTGGTTATTTAACATAGCCATGGAAAATCACCATTTTTAAAAGGTAAACCATCTATAAATGGGAAATTTTCCATGGCTATGTTAAATAACAAGAGGGTAAAGTATCATGTGGCTTTGCTCCAATGCCAAAAAACCATTGGGGGATGGTTGGAATCCAACCCATTTATATCCATAAAAATCATGATTTTGGGGATGGTTATGGCTAGTTTAGTATATAGTATTGGGTTTACCACATGGGGGGTTCCTAAAATGGTCGTACTTCAAAAATCATCCATTTCAGATTGAGATTTTCCGTTGTAAACATTTATAAACCATCCAGCGAGCTTGGGGTACCCCCATGACCATGGAAAACCAGATCTGAGAAGGGCACAGGGCCATGGATTTCGACGGTTTGGGCCTGCCCACGCGGTGAGGCGGTGAGTTCATGAACGGGGGTGGGGTAGGATACCCAATTTTCAAACAAACCTTACAGGATGGGGCCCCCAAGATAGCTAAGTTGGTTTATAAGTGGCTTAACAATGGTTTATATAACTATAGCTATTTAATGTGGATTATAATGGTTTATAAACCAACTTATAACTGGGGGGCCCCATCCTGTATCTACTAGGAACTTGCTGGCTCTCCATATGTTTTCACTCCAAAAACAGGCCAGTTTCAGACTCAACTGTTTGCACCAGCAGGATTTATTCTGCGGTCTCACAGTTGTGGCTCCCATGTACTGCTATGAGCTGATAGAGATGTTTGGCTGGGGATCGTGCCAGAAGCTGATAGACTGGTGTGCAAAGATCACATATGTATTTATATATGTACATATATATAAATATATATATATATACATAATATATATATATATATACATATCTAAATATATTAATATATATATATGTATATATGTAGATATGTATATATATATATATATGTGTATTATGTATTATGTGTATATATATATATTAATATATTAGTATATATATATATACATGTCCCACTAGATTCTCATTTCTGATGGATGAACCAATGGAAAAACACCACCAGAAACCAACTCAGCAAGCCCAAAACTGCAATGCAACTGCCACGTGTGCCGCCTTTCGTTGGGAGGCGGCACTCCGATGCCAGAGATCGGCATGGTCTCCCTCGGGTCTGAACATTGAAAACCATGGTGACTTGGGGATGCTCCTTTTATGGGCCCCACATGGCAATGGATTGGTTTGTTGGGGAAAATCTTCACCGGAAACCCATGGGTTTTTACCATCAAATATAGGGGGTTCCGGTTAAAATTTTCCCGTTATCCAATTCTGTGAACATGGCATGATACATCATGATACGTAGTATGACATCTCTTAGATTAATAACTACATGACATGAGACCAACAAAAATCGACCTTTGATCATGGTGTTTTCCACAACTCCGATGCTTGGGCCATGGAGTTGTGAAAGACGGGTGATCCCCTACGATCACCAGTCACCCGCTAAACGTGGAAAATCCCATGGTTTCCGTCAGAAAATGATCCATTAAATGGCAGGTTTTCCATATGTTCCTCTGAAACTACCAGATGGTACTTTTATAGTTTACATTTGCATATCTATAAATTGTATTAAATTGTTGCCTGTGCAAAACTTGGATTTGCTTCAGGCTACCCCAACGAGAAAACATATTCCATATAGCATCCCCAGTTCTGGTCAACCACTATATCCAGACTATGTCCCCATATTATCAGCATAAAATGCTGGTTTTCTACTATCGAATGTGGTACACCCAATAACAAACCATCCCCAAATCATAGGTCTGTGGCATTGGGCTTTCCACATCCCATGAAAATGTCTATATCTATAATTTTTGTCTATGCAACATTTAATTAAATAAATACATCTATATCCCCATAGTATCACCATCAAATCGTTGATGTTCTACTGTTTTTTACTATCCATGTTTGATTCTCAGAGGGTACAGATCCAATTTCCATAGTTAAATCCCATTTTTTCCGCGCTGAAATCCCATTTTTTCCATCATATCCCATGAAGATTTCCATAATCTACGTTAAATTTTCATGGCCGCCCTCTGCAATTTCACCCTCTGAGATGGGCACGGAACTCCTTGGGCGAGGGCTTTTGAGTCGCACCTACCAGGATAGGAATCCCAGCATCACAAGGCGCTGCCCCATGATTGGCCAAGCAAATACGGTGATTTCATGGTGATTTAATGGGATTTCGCTAGCTAAGATGATTTATAAGTAGATTAACTAGGATGTATGGTAGATATATCGAACTAGTTGGGTTCAAAACCAACAAACATCATGGTGTCTTGAGGATGGCCAAGCTTCAATTTCCGCTTCGCCATTCCCATCACTAGCATCACTAGCAACACTACTTGGCGGTGCATCCAAGTTCGTAAGTGGTTCATAATCCTTATATATATATAATATGTATATATATATATACCTGGAACCCAAATGACCCCTCTTTTGGATGGCTAACCTTCAACTTTATGGGTCAAAACCTTGAAGACAAGGGTCATTTGGGTTCCAGGTATACATACAACTGGTGAATTCCAAGACTTGACTGGCTTGCCTCTAATGACTGGATATGGATCATGATAAAAAACCCAGGTACCCTTTCTGGGGCACATCCATTAAAAAAATGCTCCGTAAATCATAATTTATCAATTGCATCTCCATATTCTGCGATGTCGCAAAACACCCTTATTCGTGATGATTAACCATAAAACCCATAGCTATTCAAATATTCTATATTACCAGTAGTACCGCACAAGGCGGTGGCGGAAGTTTTAAAAATAGGAAACCTATAGGAGAAGTTGGTTGTTGTGAATCACGGATGACAGAGCGAAAACACTGATGGAGCGACAGGTCTCTTCTCTTTCTCTCTCTTTCTCTCTCTCTCTCTCTTTCTCTCTCTCTTTCTTTCTCTTTCTCTGATTATTTACCTACCTACCTACCTACCTACCGATCTATCTATCTAGCTACCTATCTATCTAGTTACCTATCTATCTATGTGTTTATCTGTCTATGTGTTTACCTATCTATCTATCTATCTATCCATCTATCCATCTATCCACGCATCTATCCATCTATCCATCTATCCATCTATCCATCTATCCATCTATTCATCTATCCATCTACCCATCTGTCCATCTATCCATCTATCCATCTATCCATCTATCCATCTATCCATCTATCCATCTATCCATCCATCCATCTATCCATCTAGCTATCTAAGCTATCTAAGCTATCTAAGCTATCTAAGCTATCTAAGCTATCTAAGCTTCTAGCTATCTAGCTATCTAGCTATCTAGCTATCTAGCTATCTAGCTATCTATCTATCTATCTATCTTTCTATCTATCTATCTATCTCTCTATCTCTCTATCTCTCTATCTCTCTCTCTATCTATCTATCTATCTTTCTATCTATCCATCTATCTATCTATCTATCAATCTATCTGTCTATCTATCTATCTATCTATCTATCTATCTATCTATCTATGTATCTCTCTATCTCTCTATGTATCTATCTATCTCTCTATGTATCGATCTATGTATCTATCGATCTATCGATCTATTGATCGATCTATCGATCTATCTATCTATCTATCTATCTGCCTAGCCATCTATCTATCGATCTATCTGTCTATCTATCTATCTATCTATCTCTCTATCTCTCTATCTCTCTATCTCTCTATCTCTCTATCTCTCTACCTATCTACCTACCTATCTACCTATCTATCTATCTATCTATCTGCAAATTTGAAAACGAAGCTATTCTCCGAGACTTCCTCAGTTTTTGAACTTGACAACGTCAAAAACTCAGCAATTCTGCGAGATGTCCTCAAATTTTGAACTTGACAACATCATCCCAGCAAACCTGAAGACCTGATGCTCCAAAATGCAACCCCTCTCAGGAAATCAGCGCCCTGACCTCCTAACATCTCTGATGTCTTTTGTACTGTACTGCGCCTGCCACGCGAAATGCATCTTTGCAGATCCTCTTCAAATGTCCCACGCCTGCCATCGTTTTTGGAAATGCTACAAAACTCTCACGTTTTGCTCACTTTTGACAACGTGCACAATCCCTTCTGCTTACCACGCAAAAACGACATCTGAACGTCCAAAAGTGCTCCGTACCCCTCAGTTTTTTGCACTTTTGACTTCGAAATGTGCTGCGCGCCACAACGGCATGCACTTTTTCGACATCTCAACTTCCAAAAGTGGTCCCATCCTGGTGTGCTTTGCACATTTTGACTTCGAAATGTGCTTCGCGCCAAAACGGCGTGCACTTTTTCGACATCTCAACTTCCAAAAGTGGTCCGAGGCTGAGGTGTTTTGTACATTTTGACTTCGACATGTGCGCACAAGGCGTGCACTTTTTCGACATTGTGCATTTTGACTTCGAAATGTTCTTCGTGCCACAACGGCGTGCAATTTTTCATCTCTCATCTGGCCAGCTGGCTCCGCACCCGCCGCTTTAGTGAGCCTACTTTTCGACCCTCCGAAGCCACAAATCATTGGAAAAAACACAGTGGTTCACGACTTTCATACCTTTTCGCGCATCTGCATCTTCTTTCTTCTGACTCTTTCTCTTCTCTGATCTTCTCTCTTCTACTCTCCTCTTCTCTCTGCCTCTGCCCAGCTCTGCTTTTCATCTGTCCATATTGTCGAAAGTTTGACTTCTAAACTTCCTTCGACAGTGATATATTATACTACATATTATATATATATATTATACTATATAAACCAGTAGTACCGCACAAGGCGGTGGCGGAAGTTTCAAAAATAGGAAACCTATAGGAGAGGTTGGTTGTTGTGAATCACGGATGGCAGAGCGAAGCCACTGACTCCATGTATATTTCTCTATCTGTCTCTCTGACTATTTATCTGTCTGTCTGTCTGTCCATCTATCTATGTATCTGTCTGTCTATCTATTATCTATCTCTCTATCTCTCTATCTACCTATCTATCTACCTACCTATCTATCTATCTATCTATCTCTCTATGTATCTATCTATCTCTCTATGTATCGATCTATGTATCTATCGATCTATCGGTCGATCTATCTATCTATCTATCTGTCTAGCCATCTATCTATCTATCTATCTATCTATCTATCTGTCTAGCCATCTATCTATCTATCTATCTGTCTATCTATCTATCTATCTGTCTAGCCATCTATCTATCTATCTATCTATCTATCTATGTATCTCTCTATCTCTCTATGAATCTATCTATCTCTCTATGTATCGATCTATGTATCTATCGATCAATCGATCGATCTATCGATCTATCTATCTATCTGCCAAGCCATCTATCTATCGATCTATCGATCTATCTGTCTATCTGTCTATCTATCTATCTATCTATCTCTCTATCTCTCTATCTCTCTATCTCTCTATCTCTCTATCTCTCTATCTCTCTATCTACCTACCTACCTACCTACCTATCTATCTATCTACCTATCTATCTATCTATCTATCCCTTTCATCTGTCTATCTGTCTAGCTGTCTACCTGTCTATCTGTCTATCTATCTATCTATCTATCTGTCTGTCTACCTGTCTATCTGTGGCGCAGTGTCATTCAGTGTAGTGTAATGTAATGTAGTGTAGTGGAGTGTGGCGGCAGTAGTGTAGTGTAATGTAATGTAGTGTAGTGAAGCCAAGCGACATCTGAACCTCCAAAAGTGGTCCGAACCCCTGGTGTTTTGAACATTTTGACTTCGAAATGTGCTTCGCGCCACAACTGCGTGCACTTTTTCGACATCTCAACTGCCAAAAGTGGTATGGACCTGGTGTGCTTTGTACATTTTGACTTGGAAATGTGCTTCGCGACAACGGCGTGCACTTTTTCGAAATCTCAACCTCCAAAAGCGGTCCGAACCCCTAGTGTTTTGAACATTGTGCTTCGCGCCACAACGGCATGCACTTTTTCGACATCTCAACCTCCAAAAGTGGTCCGAACCCCTGGTGTTTTGAACATTTTGACTTCGAAATGTGCTTCGCGCCACAACTGCGTGCACTTTTTCGACATCTCAACTGCCAAAAGTGGTATGGACCTGGTGTGTTTTGTACATTTTGACTTGGAAATGTGCTTCGCGCCACAACGGCGTGCGCTTTTTCGACATCTCAACTAGTAAAAATGGTCCGAAGCTGGTGTGTTTTGTACATTTTGACTTGGAAATGTGCTTCGCGCAGCTGGCTCCGCACCCGCCGCTTTAGCGAGCCTACTATTCGACCCTCCGGAGCCACAAATCATTGGAAAAACAGTGTTTCGCGACTTTCCTACCTTTTCGCGCATCTGCATCTTATTGCATCTTATTTCTTCTGACTCTTTCTCTTCTACGCTTCTCTCTTCTAATCTTTCTCTTCCCTCTGACCCTTTCCATCTCTGCTCCTCATCTGTCCATATTGTCGGAAGTTTGACTTCTAAACTTCCTTCGATTATATATTATTTATATCTACATACTTCTACAATACAATGTTATACTTATCCAATGTTCATCTCCGTTTCCTCCAATAATACTCCACGTCGATTTCGGGTTAAATCCTCCCCCGAAATCGCCTGCTCGAGGCTTTGGTCATCACGGATTTCTGGATCTCAACTTCCTCGGTATCTCGGGATCTTGCTCCTTTGATTGGTTGTAAAAAAAGAGATGGGAATAGACATTTTTTTTGAACCTTAGATTACTATTTGTTTAATCCTGGTCACTGGTCTGAGTCTACTTTTTGAGTGATGATAGAGCAACCATTTTCTTAGGGTTTTTGTGATGGGTTATGATCACTGTCGACCGAGGTATCTGTGGGTTTATTTTTTGATGGGATATCCGCAAAAAGAAAACATGTGAGGTTGATAGAATGGTATGTGTTGATACTGATGGGTGATGGGATATGTGATGTGATAAACATTGATAAACCCCAAGTCCCATTAACACACATACATAATACAGTAATTCACGGATAAATGCATCATATCTACTGCCCAGAAGCCCTAAAAGACCTACGTGAATGGCTACTATCCCTCCAAGGACGGAGGTGTTCACCACCAACACATGGCCTTGGAAGAGTGGAGGATTTCCAAACATGGAACTCCAGATTTATTGTAATATCGAAGTGTGGAACATTAATCTTCCAACCCCCCCGTTCCATGTTGAATATAGGGCATACACATGCATGTACTCAATCATCGCAAAACGATGATGTTTTGGTCCAATACATGGTGCCCTGACACATCGTCAATCGACTTGCTCTTAATTTATTCTGGTGGAAACCTGTTCAAGCACAACTGCTCAGTCCATTTCCAATGACCCCCTTGAAACTTGAACCCAAATGTCGTTTCAGCTCCCTAAAATCACCAGCCTTTGGGTCCAGGCATCTAACACCCCAATCACACACTGACTTCACTTAACGGTACGTCATGTCCAAGTCCTGTCGCCCTGTCGGCAAGGTGCCATCCATTTTCGCGCCTTTGCGCTGGTGGACAAGTTCTTCCACATCACATGTGCTGGAGGATGGTGGTCTGGTGGCTTGGGGTTTGCCTCAGGGCGAATGACGAGATCGAGACCCCGATGTCAACAAGATGCGAACGTCACAATTGGAACTGGGATCATCATCTCAAAAATGGCCTGAACATGGAGGATATGCATGGCGACTTCGAGAGGAAAAATTGTGATCATGTATGACAATCCATTGGGTTTTGGGGCGCTCTATTTTCACACAAACCCTTAAATGGTCGAAAGATGTCGAAACAGGTTTTTTCGATTTACCCTCTGGTAAACTAACAGTTTGCTATTGACAATGGCCCAGTCGAAATAGTTGATTTTCCCATGAAAAATGCATGGTGATTTTCAATAGTTATGTCAACGTTTACCAAAATAGTTGATTTTCCAATGAAACATTGTGGTTTTCCATAGTTTTTCTTAACGTTTACCAGAGGATATCAGCCACTTGAAACCGCGACAAAACGTTACACACCTTGGCAACGTCACCACGGGGCACCCCTGAGGAGATGACCAATGGCAGTATGGAGACCACGGGTGATGCCTGCCGGCTCCGGCGGTCGTGGCAACATCCAACCAAATTGGTACCCTCTGGTAATTTTCCACATAGCCCATAGATGGTTTGGATACCAGAATTTCCCCATAGATGGTTTGGATACCAGAATTTTCCCCATGGATGGTTTGGATACCAGAATTTTCCCCATGGTTTGGATACCAGAATTTTCCCCATAGATGGTTTGGATACCAGAATTTTCCCCATGGTTTGGATAGCAGAATTTCCCCATAGATGGTTTGGATACCAGAATTTTCCCCATGGTTTGGATACCAGAATTTTCCCCATAGATGGTTTGGATACCAGAATTTTCCCCATAGATGGTTTGGATACCGGAATTTTTCCCCATGGTTTGGATACCAGAATTTTCCCCATGGTTTGGATAGCAGAATTTTCCCCAGGGTTTGGATACAGAATTTTCCCCATAGATGGTTTGGATACCAGAATTTTCCCCATAGGCCAGAATTTTCCCCATAGATGGTTTGGATACCAGAATTTTCCCCATGGTTTGGATACCAGAATTTTCCCCATAGATGGTTTGGATACCAGAATTTTCCCCATAGATGGTTTGGATACCAGAATTTTCCCCATGGTTTGGATACCAGAATTTTCCCCATAGATGGTTTGGATACCAGAATTTTCCCCATAGATGATTTGGATACCGGAATTTTCCCCATGGTTTGGATACCAGAATTTTCCCCATAGATGGTTTGGATACCAGAATTTTCCCCATGGTTTGGATACCAGAATTTTCCCCATAGATGGTTTGGATACCAGAATTTTCCCCATGGTTTGGATAGCAGAATTTTCCCCATAGATGGTTTGGATACCAGAATTTTCCCCATAGATGGTTTGGATACCAGAATGTTCCCAATGTTTGGATACCAGAATTTTCCCATAGATGGTTTGGATACCAGAATTTTCCCCATGGATGGTTTGGATACCAGAATTTTCCCCATGGATGGTTTGGATACCAGAATTTTCCCCATGGTTTGGATACCAGAATTTTCCCCATGGTTTGGATACCAGAATTTTCCCCATAGATGGTTTGGATACCAGAATTTTTCCCCATGGTTTGGATACCAGAATTTTCCCCATAGATGGTTTGGATACCAGAATTTTCCCCAGGGTTTGGATGCCAGAATTTTCCCCATGGTTTGGATACCCGAATTTTCCCCATAGATGGTTTGGATACCAGAATTTTACCCATGGTTTGGATACCAGAATTTTCCCCATAGATGGTTTGGATGCCAGAATTTTCCCCATAGATGGTTTGGATACCAGAATTTTCCCCATGGTTTGGATACCAGAATTTTCCCCATGGTTTGGATACCAGAATTTTCCCCATAGATGGTTTGGATACCAGAATTTTCCCCATAGAAAATTACCATCTTGATCATCTTCATAGGGAAAAAGATTAGATACCCTCTGGTAAACGTTTACAGTTTGCGAACTTGAAAATGGCTCAGTCGAAATAGTTGATTTACTCATTAATAGCATGGTGGATCTTTCAATAGTTGGGTATTAAATTACCAGAGGTTGGTGATTTCAACCAACCCCTCTGAAAAATGAATAAAAATGATGGACTGAACGTCAGTTGGGATGTGCTGACCTTCCCAACTGAAAAGAAAAATAATCCATTCATGTTCCAAAGCGCCAACCAGAATGGGTTCTTTAGATCCCTATGAAACTGGATGGATGACCAGTTTCTATGGGAAAACAACCATCTTTTGATCATGTACCCTCTGGTAAAAGCTGACATAGCTATGGAAAATCACCATGCTATTAATGGGAAAATCATTTATTTCTTTGGCCATTTTCAATAGCTATGCTAGTTTAGCGGAGGGTAAATAAAACACATCCAACAGATCATCCGAAAGGATCGCCGCACCTTCTTTGCCCTACTCCCACAGAATGCTTTCGGCAATGAGCCCACAACCCTTGGCTGCTGGGAGCGTTGCTCTCAACACCGTAGAACATGGTCAGGGCTTAATTTTAGACATTCTTTAAGGGAACAGGAGTTGTGTTACTTGGCGGTGCAGTTCCACGAAGAGGTGGCTTACTTAAGCAGATAGGTGTAGGGGTCCCATATCCCAACATATCCCAACATATCCGAACCTATCCCAGCATATCCGAACCTTTAAAGGTTACTACCAGTGTTATTAAAAAGTCCAACAACGCACCCCTAAGCAGAGCTGATCTGTGCTTCCAGTGACGGAAGCTCCTCCTCCTCCACTTCTTCCATCAGCCTCGGTGAGGGTGGAATGTATTGGATCATATCTGGTTGATGGTTTCAACCTATATACCCCTCTGAAAAATGATTGAGTTCGTCACTAATTATGAAAGTCAGTCGGGATTATGACATTCCCAGCATATGGAAAAATTGGATTCTAAGCCAATTTCATGTAAAATGTTTGTTTCAAATCAATTTGGTGTTTTCATGATGCCCCCCTATCATCCAGGGAGCCCTAGTGGGGAGGGGGCAGGGCGTACCAAAAAAGTAAAGATAAACTGTATATGTAAACAAATATGTGTAGCTTAGTTCCACTTTACAGATTTTTGTCCTTGGAAATTTCTTACCACGACTTCTGTCCTTGCAATTTGATGGACTTTGGCTGGTATGTATGTGTGCAGTGTAACATTATGTAGTGTAATGTACTGTACTGAAAACGTACTGTAAATGTACTGTCATTGTATTGTATTGTAACGTAATGTAATGCAATGTAATGTAGTATGTATGTATATATATATAAATGTAAGGATTTAAATATATATATATGTAAACAGAAACATTTGCATTAGTTACAGATGTATACCAGGACTTTGTCCTTGAAAATAAATACCAAAACCAGGACCATGACATGCATGAAACAGTAACTAGTCTGCCGAACAGGCAGTGTCCTGAACAGGAACGTATTTTTAAACCAATACTAAACATATGTAGTCCAGGACTCTGTCCTTGGAGTTAAGAAATATGTGTATATATATACACCAGACCCTGTGCTTGGAGTTACCTATGTATATATAGTCCAGGACTCTGTCCTTGGAGTTAAATATATATATATATGTATATATACACCCGGACCCTGTCCTTGGAGTTACATATGTATATATAGTCCAGGACTTTGTCCTTGGAGTTATGTATATATATATATATAGACCAGGACCTTGTCCTTGGAGTTACATATGTATATATAGTCCAGGACTCTGTCCTTGGAGTTAAATATATATATAAATACCAGGACCTTGTCCTTGGAGTTTTACAAATATGTGTAGCTTAGTTCCACTTTAATAAAAATGAGTCCAGATTTTTGTCCTTGGAAATTTCTTACCACGACTTCTGTCCTTGCAATTTGATGGACTTTGGCTGGCATGTATGTGTGCAATATAACATGATGTAGTGTAATGTACTGTACTGAAAACGTACTGTAGATGTACTGTCATTGTATTGTATTAAAACGTAATGTAATGCAATGTAATGTAGTATGTATGTACATATATATATAAATGTAAGGATTTAAATATATATATATATATATATGTAAACAGAAACATTTGCATTAGTTACAGATGTATACCAGGACTTTGTCCTTGAAAATGAATACCAAAACCAGGACCATGACATGCATGAAACAGTAACTAGTCTGCCGAACAGGCAGTGTCCTGAACAGGAACGTATTTTTTATCAATACTAAACATATGTAGTCCAGGACTCTGTCCTTGGAGTTAAAGATATATGTATATATACACCCGGACCCTGTCCTTGGAGTTACATATGTATATATAGTCCAGGACTTTGTCCTTGGAGTTATGTATATATATATATAAATATTTATATTTATAGACCAGCACCCTGTCCTTGGAGTTACATATGTATATATAGTCCAGGACTCTGTCCTTGGAGTTAAATAAATAAATATATATATATATATGTATATATATATATACCAGGACCTTGTCCTTGGCGTTACATATGTATATATAGTCCAGGACTTTGTCCTTGGAGTCATGTATTTATATATATATATATCTATAGACCAGGACCTTGTCCTTGGAGTTACATATGTATATATAGTCCAGGACTCTGTCCTTGGAGTTAAAAAAACATATATATCTATACCAGGACCTTGTCCTTGGAGTTACATATGTATATATCGTCCAGGACTTTGTCCTTGTATATATATATATATATGTTTGCATATAGACCAAGACCCTGTCCTTGGAGTTCCATATGTATATATATATATATATAGAGACCAGGACTTTGTCCTTGGAATTTTGTAAAATTTTATATTTATATATATATATTTATATACATATATAGGCCAGGACCTTGTCCTTGGAGTTACATTTGTATATATAGTCCAGGACTTTGTCCTTGGAGTTTTGTATATATATATATAAATACTTATTTATTTATTCACTTATCTATTTATTTATTTACATATATAGAACAGGACCTTGTCCTTGGAGTTACAGTACATATGTAAATAGTCCAGGACTTTGTCCTTGGTTATGTATATAGCGACGCGCTGAAACTTGGAATGCTGCCAAGTTTTCCAAAACTTTGATTTTTGAATTCAGAATGTGCCAAAAACCCCTTTTTTTAGGGTATTTTAGAATGCCGGCGTGTGAATATTATATAAGTTTCAATGTGCCAGACCCCGAACCACAGTATTGCCATACAAAATGTATATTTTAGGTATAAAATGGCATGCTAAGTTCTCTCTGTGCGGCGTGTTTTCAAACTGCAGCCGGTTCAACATCAAAAGAAGGATGAGGAACACACACATCAAATCATCAAAATCATCACCATAGGTCTTGTTGTCACATTGCAGCCGGGCCAACATCAAAAGAAGGATGAGGAACACAAACATCAAGCCATCAAAATCATCACCACAGGTCGTGTCGTCACATTGCAGCCGGGTCAACATCAAAAGAAGGATGAGGAACACAAACATCAAATCATCAAAATTCATCAAAATCATCACCAAAGGTCTTGTTGTCACATGGCAGCCGGGTCAACATCAAAAGAAGGATCAGGAACACAAGCATCAAATCATAAAAAATCATCAAAATCATCACCAAAGGTCTTGTTGTCACATTGCAGCCGGGTCAACATCAAAAGAAGGATGAGGAACACAAACATCAAATCATCAAAATTCATCAAAATCATCACCAAAGGTCTTGTTGTCACATTGCAGCCGGGTCAACATCAAAAGAAGGATGAGGAACACAAACATCAAATCATCAAAATTCATCAAAATCATCACCAAAGGTCTTGTTGTCACATTGCAGCCGGGTCAACATCAAAAGAAGGATGAGGAACACAAACATCAAATCATCAAAATTCATCAACATCATCACCAAAGGTCTTGTTGTCACATGGCAGCCGGGCCAACATCAAAAGAAGGATGAGGAACGCAAACATCAAATCATCAGAATTCATCAAAATCATCACCAAAGGTCTTGTTGTCACATTGCAGCCGGGTCAACATCAAAAGAAGGATGAGGAACACAAGCATCAAATCATCAAAATTCATCAAAATCATCACCAAAGGTCTTGTTGTCACATTGCAGCCGGGTCAACATCAAAAGAAGGATGAGGAACACAAACATCAAATCATCAAAATTCAGCAAAATCATCACCAAAGGTCTTGTTGTCACATTGCAGCCGGGTCAACATCAAAAGAAGGATGAGGAACACAAACATCAAATCATCAAAATTCATCAAAATCATCACCAAAGGTCTTGTTGTCACATTGCAGCCGGGTCAACATAGTCTAGCTGAAAAGCGAAACGGAATATGCAATGCCCGCCAAGGATTCTGGAACCTCTGGCACAGCCACCCGGCTAGCCAGCTGGCTCACAATGGAGTCCGCTGTGGTTGTACAAGGGAACAGCCAATGGCAGCTGGGCCGGTAGCCGGGCTGTTGAACTCCAGCAAAAAGAAGAAAGGCTGTGCAAAGGGAGAAATCAATGACAGTACATTTACAGTACATTTGCTCTACAGTACATTACACTACATAATGTTACATTGCATACATACATACCAGCCAAAGTCCATCAAATTGCAAGGACAGAAGTCATGGTAAGAAATTTCCAAGGACAAAAATCTGGACTCATTTTTATTAAAGTGGAACTAAGCTACACATATTTGTATACATATACAATTTATCTTTACTTTTTTGGTACGCCCTGCCCCCTCCCCACTAGAGCTCACTGGATGATAGGGGGGCATCATGAAAACACCAAATTGATTTGAAAACACCATTTTACATGAAAGTGGCTTTTCTATGGAATTTCTATAGGGTAACTTAACTACTTTTTTCCAATAAAAAAGGACTTTTATCCATATACGAACAGGTACTTTTTTCTACCTCCAGGAAAGTTTTCCGCCAGGCCCGCCAGGCCATTTTTTTACATACGGAATCCGATTCATGTGAACATACGATAACTACATAATTCATATTTAGATTAATATGAACTGGTATGTCTTAATCTACTTCCAGGGCCGGCGACTGTCTGGCCCGCCCTCCACATATGTAAATGTCGTTACCGCATAATATATATATATATAATTATTTATATTACAATAATATTGTCTTTATGATCTAATTATTCAACAATGTCCATTCTCCCAAAGAAATATTGGACGCCTTTTTGCATATGTCGTTTCTCAGATTCTGAAAATTGCTTTGGACAGCGTCCAAGTCACGGTGGTGGCGGCGGCGGTGCTTGAGCTTTGGCCCTCAAATTCAGCGGCTTCTTCTCCGGCGTCGAAGGCGCTGACTTGGGCGTCTTGGGGACCGGTGTCGTGACCGCCTCCTCCGACCTGACACGACCGGGTATCCGGGGCTTTTTTGAGCTTTGAAACATGTTTGAACCATGAAAACCTAGTTGTATTATATCATATTGTATCCTATTCAAACAAACTTAGGTAGAATTCATGAAAATCCATGTGGAATGACATGGTGAGAGTATGTGAGAGTAGAATATTGTTGCAAAGCGACTAAAGTCGCACACAGGAACGGTCCGCCAACGGGGGTCTTCATCACCTTCTGACAAACAATCTGGTGGTATAAACTCCCGATGTAGTTCACATCCTAAAAACCAACAGAATGGCCGAAGTTCCAGCAGCCCAAATCTGGAATCCTTCTTCTTGATCCATCCAATTCATCCCCATATACATATATATATATGGGCAAATTATAATAATTCACTAAAATGAATTAAGGCCATTTGGGGATGATTCCCCTTATTAACCATGATTTCCAGTGAGGGAGAACAGTGAGGTCGTTATAATTTACCTTGATACATTTATATATATATATGCTCTATCCCCATTTGATCTATCCCGATATTGTCATTCACATCCCTGTAGGATACATCTGACGTATTTGATATTGATCCATCTGAATAGGTCAGAATAAGGCACCAAACTCACAGTCGTTTGGTCGTTTGGAATAGTTATATTATTATATATGTTGTATACCCTAGTCCATTCGACGGCTTGTCATGTTGCGGCGGGGGAATCAGAGTTTTGTCGAAAAAAAGGGTTGACATTTCTCCCGGATTATCAGGCTGCACATCCCATTTGATTTTCTGGTCGAGATCTAGTACATGTCTTCCCAAGTTCGGACAGTCTCTGACAAGAAAAGGAGTGAATGACTTAATCCAGAGTTGACATTACACATTTTTCTGGTTGACATTCTATATCACAAAAATGGTCTACCCCCCTACGTTTACCCTCGGATAATCAAACATGGCAACGGAAAATGCCTCATTTCTAGATGATTTTCCCAGCTATAAACCTACATTTCGTGCGGAATTTCCCAGCTATAAACCATGTTTCATGACACCGCACGACCTATATTCCATGAAAAATCCCGGCAAAAATCCATATGGATAATATAATAATATATCCCCATGATATTCCATGATATTCTCATAAAATAGCACTATAGCTCCATATTATCTGCCATATATTAACAATTCCATGAAAAGAAGTGATCTTATGAACCGCCATTTGTAGTCGATTTTCCCATATTTTCCCATGATTTTCCATGGTTCAACCAGCACCAGCTCCCACCAGATAGTTCCAGTACATTCAACCATGATTTCCCTATCTGGTTGGTGGTTTCAATCCCTCTGAAAAATATGAAAGTCAGTTGGGATGATTATCCCATATATCATGAAAAATCATGGAAAATAAAAAATGTTCCAAACCACCAACCAGCTATGATATTCCCCTGGAATCTCCCAAGGCCAGGCCCGTTCTTTTTCTCCAAGCTGCTGCAGGTAGAACTCGGGCAGCGAGATCATGACCTCCGTCAGCTCCGCCTCCCCGCGGTGCACCTTGTTCCGCGCCACCGTGGCCTTCTGCAGCTCGCAGGGATCGGTCAACACCTCACAGCACCTCGGTCCGGGAACAAATTTCCGCCTCGATGAAGAAGTTCTTGGGAAAAAAACATAGGAAAACATAGGAACATTTGATAGTGATGCAAATTTTGGGGAACATGAACATGTTCGCAAAATTTGAAGGGATCAAATGTCCGGGCCTGCTGTATGTTTTAAGGTAAACACATGTAAAAATCTGGTTTCCTGATTGTCATTCCTTTCAAACCAATCCCGTGAGTGAAGGAGACATGGAGCCCTAAAAATTGGAACCGTAGACATGTATCAATCTGGCAAAGTAAAAAGGGGGGTACCCATCAAACCAGAGATAGATGATGGCAAAACATGGTGACATATGCTGACATAGTGTCAGTGTCAATCATTGATTTTCTAGGCTTAGATCAGTTGAAACATGTCATCATCATTTTCCTGCTAAGTCCTATTTAAATCCCATTAAATCCCATTAAAACCCCATGAAAATCAGATTAAAACCCCATTAAATTCCCATACGAGATTTTTTGGGTCAGTCAACATCTGACAAGTTTCCTAGGTCCGAATCAGAGGACTAAAACAGATCAAGCCGCGTTGCGGGACCCTTTTTTGGATTTGGCCATGGGGTTTACCCCAAAATGAGGAGTCGTCAGTATAGCATATGTGTGTATATAACTATAGCACCTACATAACATATATCTCATAACATACTACATATAACTGTAGTACACACAACAAATGTATAACATAACTATAAGATACTATGTATACATAATTGTATATATATATGTATATGGTATGGATTATGATCTTTCAACCGTGTGATTTGGCCTGAGGCTTGAGCAAATCCTGACTGACCATGGCGATGATTTCGTGGGGTTTTTCAAGTCCATTCCGATCCTCGGCACCAAAAAACGCTGCTTCCAGAAATGTTTCTTGATTTCTACGAGGTGCCCCAGTTAGCTAAGTTGTCAAAAAACAAAAACATTAGGCTGGTCAGTTGGGTTAGTTGGGTTATGTTTTTTTTAAGCTAGATGTATCCAACTCGTCAATAGGCTTCATAAACCAACGTTCACATTGCAAAAAGGCACCAGTTTCCTACGTATGTTTCCATATGTTGTTCCATCATCCAGATGGGGATGGCTCCAGAGAGTCCAATGGGCCATGGGTGTTGTCTCAAAGTTTGAAACCCCCAGAGTCCTTGCTAGAAATCAGGATTTTCTCTTTGTAAACATGACCTTTTTTTATGTGTATCCCCATGTTCCCCAATCAAATCCCCATGTATATAATCCCTACAAAATCCCCATTGAGTCCCTCTCATTGATAATTAAATCAAACAAATCATCACTTGATGGTGAACCCACCCCCCGTTCTGAACCACACCAAGGTTCCAGTCGAAGGAGCAGTGGCAAAGACTTCTGCAGGGGGTACTGCTGGGACCTAGGTAATCCCGTAGGAAACTCCGATCATCATGAGAAAGCCAGCAAAAACAGTTTTGGGATCCAATGGGAATATCATGAGATAAAACTGGGGTACTCGGGAAAAAATCTGCTTGGTGGTTTCAATTGAAAAAAGTGAGTAAGTCAGTTGGGATGATGACATTCCCAATGGAAATTCATTAAAAATGTTCCAAACCAGCAACCAGAAATGGGTCGCGAACAAACTCTTCATTGGAGGTTAACCACCCCGCAGGGTCAAATCGGATTGGTTTCTCTCGGAGAATCGGAAAGTCAGCTGGGATTTTGAACCCAAAACAATGCGGCTTTTGGGGGTTACTGTATGACATATTATAACTATTTAGACCATCCAAATAACCCAGAAAAATAGGTAAAAGTCCCAAATTAATGGGTATACTATACTATACTATATTACCACATTTTCCTAGATACTTGGAGGGTCAAACGCTGCATCGAACTGGAGGGTGGCTGAGACCGTGGCTCCTTCACAGCCATCAGCAGGGCCACCACTTCGAACTGGCACAGGTCTTCCGAGAATCGCGGGATGCACCCCAATTGATACAGGTCTTAGGGTCGGTTTAGACAAAATTTCATACTTTCTGTTTCATCATCAGAACGCTCGCAAACAATGTATGTGGATATGTGCAAATGCAGGCCAAGAGATTTCCTAAAATGTGTGGGCACCCCCAAATCATCCAAGTCCTTGGACGATTTGAGCATTGAAACAACCGACTGGTGACGAAAGTCTGGGGGTCCATGACTTCTTAGAAACCGCCAGCCTGCTCAACCCCAGGCAAGTTGGAAAAGTCAAGCTCCTCGGCCTTTGTTACAGGGATACCGCAGGCGCTGGATATGAAGAGATCATGGTTGATGTTGGTGGTTCCATCTTAACATTTAGACCTCGATCAAAGAATCTCTTTGCTCCGCCCAAGCTTCATCCAGTCCGTAAGACAGCGACACAAATTGAATGGTGAAACAGCATTCTTGACACTCTGCTGGCTGCCTTCCTGTTCAAACGAAAATGCCCATTTACATTGTACAAAGTAGTCCAGAACAATTAAATATCTCATCTGGGATTTATTGAACAACTACATGCATACACTATATACAAAATTGTAATCAATTATACACATGTATGCATACAATATGCATCTACAATATCTGTACGTTTGAACTCTTGCCAAGAAACATCAGAATCATCACAGGTGGCCAGGCAAGGCCATGAATGAACATTGGCAAAGCACAAAACAAAATGGGGCCCCCAAGATAGCTAAGTTGCCTTATAAGTGGCTTAACTATAATTTATGGCATGATATAACTATAGTTAATTAACGGGGTTGATAATTTATAAGGCTTTATAAACCAACTTATAACGGGGGGGGCACCATCCTTTTTCTGGACTTCAGCGCAAGTGACAGCACCCATCTTGATGAAATCTATGAGCTCGCATAGGCCACTCCCACCTCGCCGCGCATGCCGATTATAGGAATGGACCGTCTTCGCCCATCCAGTTGAAACATATGGAAACCTGGAAACATCTGGAAACCAATTTAGATGTGATCATATATATATATATTATATGTTCTCTACACCCGGAACCAATAAAGCAGGAAAATCGGAATCCTACTTGTAACGAGGAGGATTGAAATTCTCTCAGCATCTCTAAGCCTTTCATTGTGCATACTTTCTCGACTCATGTAACGCCAAGGCTCTGATGCCAGTTCCACCTATCCTCAGCCTGGTGAAGCGCACGGTCTGCAGCAATGGCCAAGCTGGAAGAATAAAGATCTACCCTCTGGTAAACAAACATAGCAATTGAAAATCACCATTTTTAATGGGTAAATCAACTACAAATGGCCATTTTCAATAGCTATGTTAGTTTACCAGAGGGTAATACTAGGCCATGATGTCGAGTCTAAATGAGTTTTTGCCGTTTATCAATAGGTTTTTTCCGGATGTTTTCAGGACCCCATCTGTACCAGGTTGCGCCTCGTTACGAAGGATCCGAACTTCTTGAGGAAAGTCACTAAACCTGGAAAAATGCCGAAATCGCAAATAACACCGCAGGAGACAACCCTTTGAGCGATCTTTTCTCACCAAAAAACAGCACTCTCAACGTACTTCCACCATCTTCCGTCATCTTCCTCCAGCAATTTGTGATCATTTGTCAAAACTTATAAAACTTGCAAGTGTGCAAGCTGTAGCCATACCTAGTTGCGCTTATCATTCTGATGTCTTTCTCTCGCTTGAGGATCTCCATTGGTCGCCATCAAGCAAGCTACGCCCGAAGCCATCGAACTCCAGATCGGTGTCTGTCACTTTCCTTGGATTTGCTCGAGGACTTGAGGAGCCCCCCAAAAAGATATTCAATCCCATGACGGATCCATGGTGCTGGTATATTAATGCTGACATAAAGGGGGTTTTTGTTGATGGGATCCATGTTACCATATATAGCAGCACCATGGATCCTGTGGGAATATTCATCAATATTCATCTAATTGGTGGTATACCTACCCCTCTGAAAATGGCCATTAATTTTGTGAGTTTTCCCATTAAAAATTGTGATTTTCAATGTGAATTCCATCCTGGTTGGTGGTTGACCTACCCCTCTGAAAAATATACGTTCGTCAGATTGGATCATCATCCCAACTATTGGGGAAAATAAAGTTCATGTTCCAAACCACCAACCAGTCATCAATATTCAATAATATGGGTAAAACAATAATAAGTCATCCCCGAAATCGGATGTAAAGAGGTGGTATAAACCATTCCCAAATGGGTGGTTTATGGCATTGTTTTACCCACACAAAACTCCCGATCTATAGATTCCCCTCTTAGGATTTCCCACCGACGCTTTGCGCCAGGTGTCGGGTTGTCCCTGAAGTCCAAATCGATCTTGAACTTTGTGGGCTCACCCACCCGTTCCAAATACCTCAGCTCGAGGCGAATGATCCCATGATCACTGCTAGCGTCCAAAAAACAGCTGGATACCTGTTGGGAATCAAACATATCTGAAATTCCCCTACACATGGAGGTTTATAGCTGGGAAATTCAGCTATAAATTGGTAATATGGGGACAATTTGTCCCAATGAACATAAAATTTGAACCTTGTAGTGGTCAGGACAGTTTGAGATGGGCGTGGTTCATGCCCATGTGGGTTTGTATGGGGTCCCACTAATTTGATGCGGCACCATCATGTCATGTCAATCAAAGTTGATGGATCCTAAAGAATTGGTCTATACTATCCCTGTTACATAATATATATATATTATAATATTCATAAAATTTGATGAATCATCATTTTCATCATAATATTATGTCTATAATGTCCCTGTTAAACACATGCGTTGTGTTTCACTTTGTGGCGAATTTCTCGTCAATTTCAGCGGGGTATGCCGCTGCGCCAGTGCCAAGAGACTCCTCCAGTTGACCAATCCGAAGCAGCAGCGTCTGGTTGGACAAATTTTTTGACGAAAGCTGCACCTCCAGATAGTCCTGACGCGGCATGTTTTAATGGGGCAGGGCACCTTTAAAAATGATCAACCAATGATCTAAAAACAATAAATCGATTAAACATGTTTAAACTATACCATTTCGGGGGGTTTACGAATCAACCAAAATCAATCAATCAACCCCCAGTTTATCAATAGATTCTTTATCTTTTTGTCAACATTTATCACGATTTCTGGGGTAATCTGCCCAGTCATCTCAAAATCGTCAGCTAAGCTGTCCGGGGTTAACATCCCAAGCTGTCTGCTACAGTGTGTCAACGCTGTATGAAAGCTTCAACATCAATGAGTCTCATGAGATGTTTTCTTAAGCCAAGGAGTGTGAACTTGCTCCTGGATGTAAACCCTCGATGGGGTATAAAGAATATTAATAAAGAACATCCTTCATATCCTTTCGAATGTGTGCAAGAGAAGAAAATCAGTCATCATTCTGTTTGACTCCAGGGCCCTGTAGAAACGTGTTGTCCTCGTTAAGCTTGATGAATCCCGGGTTCGACATGGGTCTGGATGCAGCTAAGGCCTTGCCAGTTAGCGTCCTTCAAGCTGCGAACACCTCGGTTGAAACCTTTAATCTAAGATTACAGTCAGAGTACATTTTCCAAGGTTTTGTTATACTGTCATTGTTTATGAGTGTTTATATTCAGAATTCATATCCAAATAATCCTGTGGAGAGTTAGTCATCTTGCGTTCTGGGAGCAGATTTAGCAGCTGTGGGCATCTCGGGCAAAAAGCAAAACTAGAGCAACAGCTTGAGCAAAGTCGTCGAGGTCGTTTCAGTTCAGGAGTCAGATGGTGGATGGGCAGGAATCACAACTATGGCTGTTCAATGCTTTTCACAAAGAAAACGGCTGGGATTACTGATTCAACATGATCTAACCATCAAACATGAAGGACATTTAACCTCCAAACATGGTGATTTTACACGATTCAACCTTCAAACATAGGGCTTGTCCTAACAATATGTTGTAACTATCCATGTGGCAGTTGAAATGAGGAGGATGATGATGATGATGATGATGACGACGACAATGATGATCAATCCTGGGATTACACGCTTTTCCTTTTCCCATAATGGTATCAAAGCCTTATCCCCAGTTTTCATTACATGTATGTATATATATATATATACACATACAATTTGTAATGTAAAGATATTGTAATACAATGCGATGTTGTAACTTACGAGCTGAAATAATTTTCTTCCGAACATTTCGTTACTGATGATTTTCCCACCGGAAAAAAACAAACATAAACGGTTTGTGGAGAAATCCCATACATCACCAGAGGCTACATCGCATATGATAGTCTCATCTTAGATGGTGAAACATCATTGTTTTTTATCCCCACTTTTTGTGAGTGAAATGGGGATAAATCACCACTTTTTGTGAGTGACATGTTTTTTCTCCCCACTTTTTGTGAGTGAAATGGGATAAATCACCCTAATTTTCAGCTTAGAACATAGAATCAATCCCCCCCAACATAGCCATCAACTACAGCTGGCGTTACGCCACGCCATGCCACGCCATTTTGCCCAAACACACCTCGACACCTCCATCCAACTCTTAGGGGGAAAGACGACTCCTTGTGAAACACGAGGCAACACGTGTGATGTGATCACTGAGATTTGAAGTATGGGTCATATATGTACATATAGGTACATTATCTGGTTGGTGGTTGACCTACCTCGCTGAAAAATATGACTTCGTCAGTTGGGATTATGACAGTCCCAATGTATGGAAAAATGAAACATGTTCCAAACCACCAACCAGTTATATATGTGATGACAAACAGGTTTCTTTGCCGAAACAACATTGATCACAAGTCTTCAACAGCACAGCTTTGAAAAACAAATAGCATGGACATATGCCTACAGATCTCTTTCTTGAGGCGCCTTTTGGACGCGTCTTCTGTACATATTAGCGCGTCGGCAGAAAGACAAGCAAGGTTTGGATCCAATCTTTCCTGTAAAATGGAATCCATGTTGTCCTCACGCATCAAATATGACCTAAAAACATCTAAAAAACATTTTGATCCATTTTGCCATTAAGAAAACACATTTTTCTCTGCCCTGTGCCTTTTTCATATCACTCAATGGCACCACGTACCTCGGTGTTTCGGTCATCCCATGAATCCAAACATCATGGATGGGATTGATGACCATCCACAATCTGGGTGAATGTGAGATGATGATAGTATCATAAGCCCCAAACGTTGGTTCATTGATTATCATTGATTATCATTGATTATCATTGATTATCATTGATTATCATTGATTATCATTGATTATCATTGATTATAGGTGGTTCCCCAAAAATAACATGGCCAATCAGCCAGATATCCTGCAAAAAATGACAAATTCTTAGCTGGTGAACGTAGAAAATCCCATTGATACGAAAAGACTAGAGGATTAAAGTACCCATCCGAGATTGACCTAGTATATAATATAATATATACCTGCGTACATAATAGTACAGTATACAATCTAACTTTTGAACATGGCACCGTGCTGGGGGTCAACTTTGTTGAGGGAGTTTGCACCCAAATGGACCAGAGATTTGAAATCCTCTCAATGGACCCCAAAATGAAGAGATCCGAAAAACGAAGCCAGGAGTTCGTTTGGGGGTAACATGAGGGGAACGGAACGGGATTATCAACCATCAGATCATTGCACCAACTTTTCAGAAGGGTTGACTGGTTGCTGGTTGACCTACCCCTCTGAAAAATATTAATTAGTCACTTGGGATGATGACATTCCCATTCCCAATATATGGAAATCTAAAAAAAATGATGGAGTTCGTCACTTGGGATGATGACATTCCCAACTGAATGGAAAAATAAAACATGTTCCAAACCACCAACCAGTTGACAATGAGATATGAGCCACATGGCTATAGATTTGAAGTCTTTCAGCAGTTTCAAGTGCAAGAATAGAAAAGGCCCCCCAAAACGATAGACAAGTCAACTCCCATTGAAATAGTAGTCATACATATTCATATAATGTTTTTTTCCTTTGCAATTACCTACAAAAACATATGGTTGCATCAGGGGGATATAACGGTGATAAAGCCATATGATTCAACCATGTTCTATCGTATCAACTAACATAGCGAAAGAACATGGCCCGTGTATTTATTTACCTATTGGAAGTAGTGATTTTCCATAGCTAGGTTGGTTTTACCAGAGGGTAGTAAAACATTACTACCATGGACCCAAATGGACCCCAAATCATCATAAATCATCCATTTCAATGGGTCTTCTCATCATAAACGATCATCAATGGCCATTTCAGGATCCTAAATTGGAGGTACCTACCATATATAAGGCCTATGTAAGGCCTAAATTTCAGGGAATATCTCCACAAAATATGGCCAGAAATATGGTACTAACGTACCTCCATCAATTGGATCCTGAAGATCTCCCGTTTTTTGATCAATTTTGGGGTACCCTGAGTTCACGGCTCCCAGCTGTGCCACATCCGTCAGAAAGGACATGGAGTTGTGGATGGTGGTGCCGCCCAAGACGATACTGGCCGATAAAAGAACCCAGATTCAAACAGGGATGTAGTATGGAATATTTGATGGAACATATAGTATAATCTCCTTATTTATTTGGTTAGCTATCCAATTATCTTCGTACCTATCTACCAAAAAAAATAAACATATTTCTATCTATTCATCTATCTATGAGTCTTTCGATCTATCTAAAAGTTTATCTATGAACCAACTTACGTACGTAGTATTCATTTACAAATCAAGTTGTGTATCTATAAGAACCATTTATGGGGATATGTTGAGAGAATATCTTGGAATATACGACCAAAACTATGATGGGCATACAAGTAAACCATCACAAATACTGTCTGGTTGGTGGTTTCAACCCCTCTGAAAAATATGAAAGGCAGTTGGGGTTATTATTCCCAATAATATGGAAAAATAAAACAGGTTCCAAACCACCAACCAGATGTTGATTGGTTATGCCAGTTATGCACTGCTGGGTTGCACTGCATCGTTCATTGGGAATGCATTTCATCCGTGTCAACCAGCAAACTGTCATGGGATGAGGGTATTCTGCATGGCTCAGGAGAAATCAGTGTGCCCTTTCCCCCTGCGTTCGTCGGCTTCCGCCATGAAAAATGCTCCGTTTCTTCCTCCCGTTGTACACTGGTCAAATGGGCATTCCGGAATTCCGGAATGAAAAGGGTGATGATTCATGATGGTTGTATATACCCATAGGATCCATGTATGGTATATATGCTAACATTGGGGGTATATTGATGGTAAATGTTACCATATATAGCATACATGGATCCTATGGGATATAGTTTGAAATAATTCCCCAAACCATTTACAATATTTTACATGTATACCCCCCATCCAAAAAACACCAAATATCACCAATCAGCCAGCTTTCAATGGCGACACGGGAGGCGCGCAGATGCGCAGCTCTTTTTTCACAGGTGAGACGAGTTCGTATGGCACGTTGGGGTTACGGGATCGGCACTCATCTGGCAGACATTGGCGCCTGGGGCGCACGGAACAGGACATCGAATCATGGTCAGGTTACATGGTTAAACATGCTGATATGTTGAATATATATATATATATTATAATATATAATCATATATAGATAATCATATATATATATATAATCACATATATATATATATATGTTAAAATGGTTAGAACAAAATAATTGACATGGTTTATGGTGGTTTATGGTCGTCCCACCACAAGAAAGGAACTCCTTACAATGGCTACTTTCAGCCCTGTTTCTGGATTGATGATGATCCCTCAATATGGCAGTGTGTCAAAACCTTGTACCCCTGGTGAACATCAAAATAGCTGGTAAATGGATGTTCATCCCACTAAAAATGGTATTAATAGGTATTGATTCATAGCTTTCATGTCCTCACGGCACCACGGAGGATGCTGCTTAGGATGGGAATCTCATGGCTACTTACCCTCTGGTTATGTCAACATAGCTATTGAAAATGGCCATTTATAGTGGATTTTCCCATTAAAAATGGTGATTTTCCATAGTTATGTTAGTTTACCAGAGGGTAGGTATAATTCAATGTTCGACCGTGGCACACCTGCGGTCAAGAAAAGATGTGCAACAATTGCACGGCCGGGTGAATTTGGAAGGGGACAAGGCTCTGGAACTTCTTCAACAATGCTGTCAAGTTGTCTATAGCTAAAAAGTAAACTACTATCCTTTTATAGTTGATTTACGTATTAAAAATGGTGGTTTTCCATAGCTAAATTACCAGAGGATAATTGAATGTCGATGACGGTTATGTGGTTGGGAAACTCTATTCGTACCTCCAACTGGGAATATGGGTACTAATAGCTAGCTTCACCGCCAGCCCTCCAAGATCAAGTCTATGGCTGCACCGCAAACAAGATCATTGATCCTGATCATAGCTGGACATTATATGGAGATATATTAAATTAAGTATGTTTTTGTAACTATAGAGGCCGCATATCCCAACTTATGAGATAACCATGGAAAAAAAAAACAATGAAAATCACCTCAGCATCCCAAAGACCTGGATTTCTTTTCCTTTTAGGTCTTTACCAAAGATATGTCCGATATTCCCAAAGAAATGGCTCAAGAAGTGGGACAATCATCCAAGTAAACCATGATGATTCAATCAATTCATCGATTCTCCCATGTTTATCCCACTATTCTCCCACTGCTCATCCCATTCTATCCTCATAAGAATACCCTCCGGTGTCATCAACCATGGCGTGCTGGGAAATACACAAACATTAGTTCGGTGATTTTCCTATTGAAACCCTCATAGAACGTTCATGGATTTCCCAGCTTGCCACGTTTGATGACATCGGATGGTCACCATTTCTGGTTGGTGGTTTTTCGCCACCTACCCCTCTGAAAAATGATGGACTGAACGTCAGTTGGGATGACATTTTCCATTCCCAACTGTTTCTGGAAAGTCATAATCCATTCATGTTCCAAACCACCAACCAGATTTTATTAACCATTGTTAACCATCATTAACCATCATTAAGCAGAGTACTATTGGTCACTTATTTGAAAAATCCTCGTGATCCCGCGCACCAAGGGAGTCAACTCGGAGGAAGGCTTCCAGGAGATCTGGGAAAATCCGAACATGATCTGCATGAAACTGGCGGGTATCCCACATCGAACTGTTACGAACTCACAGGAGGCTTTCTATAGTGGGATGAAAAAAGGGGAATTAGCTAAGCACGTTGGCTGATAACTCACGAGGAATATTGAACCGTGGGGTTTATGGTGTATATATATATATATATATGTATCGAACTAGTCAATGGATGTCAATAGGGGTAGTAAACAAAATCATGTCTGGGCATCACAGTGTAGGTGGTTCACATAACTATATGGTATACAAATCCATTTTGGTATGAAGAGACACACATAGAATATCTGGTTGGTGGTTTTAACTATCTTGAAAAATATGAGTTCGTCAATGGGAAGGATGACATCCCATATATGAAATGGAAAATAAATAAAATTCATGTTTGAAACCACCAACCAGATATGCTTGTTTTCGGTATTGCTCCATAATAAACCGATGCAATAACCGTCCCTGGCAGCGGCGCATGTCGCGGCGCAAGGCACCTGTCTCATCTTGTCCCAAGGCACGGTAGCTTTCATGTCCTCACGGCACCACGGAGGATGCTGCTTAGGATGGGAATCTCATGGCTACTTACCCTCTGGTTATGTCAACATAGCTATTGAAAATTACCATTTATAGTGGATTTTCCCATTGAAAATTGTGATTTTCCATAGTTATGTTAGTTTACCAGAGGGTAACCATGGAAAAATGCTGAACATTGGTGAACATTGGGATCACTCACTTGCATGAATTTTGAACTGATATGTGGCGGTCAAAACCCTGGTGCCCTAGTGACCGCACACACTACTTAACCCAATTAAGTAATCAGCTTGATTCTCATCTCAATGGATTGATTGAAGGCAAAACATACAGGAATTCAGCGGTTTTACCTGCACTTGTAAGGGTTTCCTGTACAGTTTCCTTTAAATCCTTAAATCAAAAAAGGACATATCCTCATGATATCGCATTAGTTTCAAGAACACATCCCGTCTATTCCCACTAAATCCACATTGTATTCCGAGAACAAAACACATTTACATAATATTTTTGTTGGCTACATAATTTATTAAATACCCATTATAATCTGACGTGTTGGTTAAATCACAATGACAGTTCCAATTCTATCCCCACTATATTTATCCGACCCATAAAGAGATTAATAGTGATTAATAAAGATGTATATGGATATATGTATAGGATTACTATTATATCTATTATGGGAATATGATAGGATAGGAATATGATGGATATGATGGAAATAATCGGGAATTGAATAGGGATTTTATGAGAATATCATGGGAATATTGGATTGATTTAAGGGAAAATCTACAGGAAACCATGGTTTTACCATCAACTATAGGGGTTTCCAATGAAATTTCCCGTATACCAATCCAATGAAATATGGTTCGTTTTATTGGAACTAATGGGATTTGATGGGGATAAGAACCAAAACATGGTGCTATAAAGAGGTACCATAGGGAGACTGTACCATGCATATTAAATCACTATTTGATCCATATCCATATCAATCCATATAATAATATAATAGTGATATACTACATTGATCCCATGTATTAATCCATACTATACCACTATAATGTTGAGTCATCATATTAATATATAGTAATATCCATATCCATATAGTAATCAATTTTGATCCATATATACCATATTAATCCATGATATATTATCCCATCTATATCCATATCCAGATATATCCATACAAATCACTATTACTCACTATTAATCACTATTAAATCGCTATTAAATCACTATAAATCCATACATTTATCCCTCCAGCTCCTTCCAGCTCCGTGCTGAGGATGGTGGAGCCTGACAAAGTGTCACCATGGCGTCGTTTCTTGCTACATGCATATAATGTGCAATATATATATATATATGTATGTATCTATCTATCTATTTATCTAATCTCCTAATCTATGTATCTATGTATCTATGTAATATTTGTATCTATGATGTATCTATGATGTATCTATGATGTATCTATGATGTATCTATGATGTATCTATGATGTATCTATGATGTATCTATGATGTATCTATCTATCTATCTATCTATCTCTGTCTGTCTGTCTGTCTGTCTGTCTATCTATCTCTGTCTGTCTGTCTGTCTGTCTGTCTGTCTATTCATCTATTCATCTATTCATCTATCCATCTATCCATCTATCCATCTATCCATCTATCCATCTATCATCTATTCATCTATCAATCTATCTACGTATCTACGTATCTAGGTATGTAGGTATGTAGGTATGTATGTATGCATGTATGCATGTAGGCATGCGTGCATACATGCATGTGTGCATGCATGCATGCATGCATGCATGCATGCATGCATGGATGTCTGTCTGTCTGTATGCATGCATGTCGAAAACCACCTATCTATATGAGGTTCTAATGGAGGCAAAGACCTATATATATATATATATCATATAGATATGCTTACATATTACATATCATCCATATCAGTCTATATCTGTCTGTAGTAGTCTCTATCAGTCTCTATCAGTCTCCATCTACCCATCCATCCGTCTATCTACAGTAAGCCTAATATCCATTAGTATCATATAGTACTATGATATATTTGTATGATGTACACGTATTCCTCGGTGAAGCTAGGGAGTCTTCATCGTAGTGACAAACTATTCATTAACCACTTCTGAACTTGGACTTTTCTTCATCTCCTCTCCGATATACCCTGAGCAGTGTTCAAAACCCTCTGTCGTCCATACTGGTTGGTTGATAGGATTTCGCGTGATAAATTGTGATAAGTATTGACAATTCCATATGATTCCCACATATTCCCAATATATTCCCAATATATTCCCAATATATTCCCAATATATTCCCAATATATTCCCAATATATTCCCAATATATTCCCAATATATTCAGTAATAAAACCCCATATAATATCATATAATCATATCAATCAACAAGGGCTTAGCCACTCACCTGACACCAAGCTCGTCAGCTTAATCTGGCACCTGGTAGCTGGTCAATCTCTCGAAAGTCTGCTTCTCCGTCACTGCCTGGTGCGACCGTGTGAACAATGCAAAGTGGCTACGTTGAAATGTAGCACTCACCCATGACGGATCCATGGTGCTGCGATTTATATATGGTAACATTTACCATCAATATACCCCCAATGTTAGCATATATAGCATACATGGATCCTATGGGTCATGGAGTATGGAATCAACCGTGCATGTGATTTGACTATGTTGAAAATATGTTGAATATGTTGAATATTGTACAACCAGCAACAATGGCTCTTTAAATCAAACAAATTCGGGAAACACGAACCGTTCGCCAAAACTTCATACACTATAAAACTATTGCCTAGAATCAATGAAACATGAAAACGTTTGGAGAACGTCAAAAAACATTGACGCCAACATATCTATCCGGAATTGGTTTCTGATTTTGTCCCTGACCACAATCAAACACAATCCACAATCCTACGTGACCATATGTGACATTCACCGAGTCCACCTGTATATAAGATGTACATTAGATGATTATAGATGTATATTTACCCCAACATAGACAAATAGAAATATGAACACCTGTAAACTGTATGGCACACACAACATCAATCACACGATCCCAGAAAACCTGCAAGGAAGCAAGGAATTCATGTACATCTAATAGGCCCAGCATTGATTGCCTCATATGTGCAGTGTTCATCCAACAGTGGTATAAAGGTAGCAAATGCCATCGAGCACATTTCTTCTGCAAAATTCCAAGCTGGCAGGCCTGGGAACTTCCCCTGATTCCCATTTTTCTTGCTTTCCTTGGCGATGGTGTGCTGGTTGCATGGACTAGTCAGCCTTTGCACTGTTGGATCGCTCTAGAGCGGCTGCATTTTGCCCTTCGGCATTGTAGCAAAGGACCATGCGATGAGGCCAACCGAAGATTTTACCTGTGGAAGCTGGAAGATCTGTCACAAGAACCAAGGTTCCCCGGTGATTTGCATCAGCTTCGAAGCCACTCATCTGAGTCTTCAAGTCCAGAACACTTTGAAACTTCAGGATCTTAAGCTTGTAGGCAAGCAACTCTGCAAGCATCTTGACACAGGTCTGATTGATAGGCCCTTTGACTTCGGAGACTCTGCAGCAGGACAAACGCAGCTGAAGGTGAACTGTGAACCATCTGAGAGACCTCTTGGTGTTTGAGTGATGCGAACTCACAAGGCTCCTGCTGAATTTTGTTGAGGAGACCCTGCAAAGATGATATGCCTTCTTCGGGGCTCCAGTCCAGTGTCAGCAATGTGTGCGCAACATCTCTCCAGTTGACATTGGGAACCCAACCATTTAACCTGAGGGAATTGATGAAGGAACGGTCGAAGTTGCTGGGAAAGCCATCACCAATAAGACTCCAACCATGTACATTGACATTGCCACGGTCATTCATCTTGAGTAGTAGGGTGCCGGGGAATATGATGGGGATTGCTTCCGAGATCATCGAGGTGGCTGAAACACGAGCCAACTCCAGCCAGTGTTGGGAAACACAGTGCTTGAACCGCTTCAGTCCAGCGTCAAAATTCTGCATGAGTTCCAAATTGAGCATTTCCTCTTTTTCGCCCAAAGCAGTCAGCTTCCCAAAAATCTGAACAAATGCAGTCCACTATCGGCATGAGCGGGCAATCCACTAAGGAACTCCTGGACAAAGTGCTCAGCATTCACCACAGGTCTTTGCGCTGCGGTCCAGCTGATATCAAAATTGGGTGATTTGGGATAAAACTTGTTGCTTGCCATGGCTTCCAGAAATTTGCCGACGTGTGGGAACTTGTCAAGAAAAGCTTCCACATCCCCACGTTTGATAACTAGCGAGTGAAAAGCATCTATCTGCAGGTTTGGGTTCAGTGACCTCGATGGCTCGCTTTCTGTGTAGAAGAGGAGGCGAGACCAAGGATAAGACCCGAACATCGGTCCATGAGGATCACAAAGAGCTTTCTCTAGATCGGCCAATTTTCCCCCCGGCAGCTCGACTCTACAAATATCTTCGCCATTGAAAGAAGTTGTAATGCTCACAGAGATATGACCGCCCAGTGGGCTTGGCAACAATGACGCAGTGAGCACTTTCATGATCCAAATAAAAAGAAACCTCGGGACTGCACTTGAGGCAAAATAGCTATGGAAACCCCCGGGGAATCATTGGATAAGTTCCCACTGAGTGACTGGCCCCAGCCACCAAAATCCGAGTTTGTTTTTTGCTGGTAACATACCATTTTTTCCTGGTCAAATCCGGAAATATAATGACTTTAAATGGGAAAAACATGGTTTTGTCCATTGGATTGTCCCACAAATCGAACTCAGTGAATCACCAATCATCAAACAAAAGAGGGTGTCTTGCAGCCACACATCTGTTGGGTATTTAATGAATGACATTTCAATGCTAAAGTTATGTTCGGTGTTTTTCATTTAGAATATTTAGAATTGAGTTCTATGGATCCCAAGAAAACCTAAACCTAGCGACGATCCAGTCATGACACAGGCCCTGGATCCGCCTGCCAGGCTTTTGCTTGGCTACTCCTTAGCGCACTGATGCATGGTTCTGAGAACCAGGTCTGAGAACCGGCTGGATCAGTCCAATCTATGGCATCTATGGTCATATTTAATCATTTTAATGGAGAGAAGATCGGACATCTATGATTTAGCAGTGGATCCATGGTTACTACCCTACTTTCAGACATTGTCTAGAGAAACCTTTTGCTTCATGTGAATGGGAAAACTTAGTTCAACCATGAGCGACCATAGGGATTTAACATGATTCAGCCAATAACAGTTTCAGAGTTTCACAACGGGTTTCAGTCACAAAGGGATTTAATCCTATAAAATCCTAGACTATATGTTTTTTTTTTCACATGACTGAAGCAATAGTTGTCATATTCATATGGGACCATGCTCATCCCTCCATTCTCAAGATCCAATCACAAGATCTTTCTATTGGATGCCCTGCAGCCACAACTGAAACAAAAGGGTTGGACATGGGGTATAGCCCCAATTATAGCCGTTGAAATGGGAACATGAGGATTAACATTGATCAACCCTTGGGTTTAGGGGTACACTATTTTCAGACAAAGTCAAGTTTCTTGAAGCAATTGGTCTTGTTCTGCATGGAATTCAGGTGCTGGGAATGATTCCAGTCAGCACCTTCTCGTGTCTTGAGCGGCCTGTGACAGTCAGGTGTCACGATAGAAATTGCAACGGTCAATATGTAGAACGTTCGGATGGTAGGATGGTTCAAAACTAGCCAACCCAAAGCGGTGTCCGGTGTACGAAGTGTACTATAATTATACATCTAAAAACACCAAGAAGTACAACAAATTGATGGTCACCCAAAAAAAATGAGCCACAGACTTGTTCCTTAGGAAGGCAACAATACAAGTGTTACGCCCACCTTCGGACACCGTTCATGAAGTCAGAGATGGACTCATACGTGCCCTTGTCCTGCCACTGGATGGAGATCACTACATGTCCTTTTAGGCATCAAACATCGAACGACTCAGAATCTTCTCACTGCCTTAAGTGTTCTCCCTTAAAGACGGACTTAATAAGACTTAAGCACCACATTCAACCGGTTGTCTTCCCTGATCTTCTGCGACTTGCGCACACCAAGCAACGGCAAATGCTGCGACTGGATACAGACCGGACTTGCTCTGAAATCCCTCATGAGGTGTTCCTTCGTAGCAAGACTACCTACAATATCAATCAATATCATACAATCTAGAATCTAGAGCTAAATCTCAGATTCTTTTAACCGTTCTTCAGTTTTTAAACCAACAGAATTTACAAAAAACGCTTCAATCTGGGTAAATGAAATCAAATTTCACCCATTATTAACCATTTATTAACCATTATTAACCATAGATTAACCATAGACAATTGACCCAGTTCAATCAACAAAAAATCAACGCCCAGTCCTCTCGGTACATCTCCTCACTGCGGAAGGAGATGGGCGGAGGCTTCACCTGAATTCACGACGTGGAAAACGACGGGAAAAAATGGTGGGATTTTATCATGGGAATATCTACAGAAATGCATAGTGATATGTATATATATATGCAGTATATATATATATATATATGTAGTGATTAGGATGAATATTGAGAAAAAAATCCCAAGTGTATTCCAATATGGGTATATCTCCAGTTTTTGGATAGTTGTATCTATATAATGATTAGGGTGATGGGTAGGGTGATGGGACAATATACCAGAATATAATTGGGAATGATGGGAATATTTCCAAACTTGGATTGGGAATTGTACAGTGATTTATACTGGTAATATCATGGGGATATGATGGGACAATCGTGATTTAATGGTTAAATGATGGAATTATTATTAAAACTATGGATTTATTATTAAAATTATTATAGTAATCCCCAAAAACACGCCGAAAATTATGTTCCAAAAGGATTGGGTCGTAGTTCACTACGATGTCTCTCCTCGCCATTTCCAGGAGGTGTCCACGATTGTCCACGGCTTCTCGGCATCAATTTGGGGGGTTGCGGAAAAGGCAAACACAAACGATGGGTTTTGAGCAGAAATCTGAGGGGTTTTCGACGAAACATATACCAAAAATACCATGCAATTTGGATTGGTTTAATCATTGGATTGGTTTGTTAAGAATAATCTACGGTCTACGGTTGAAACCATGGTAAATTTTGGTTTTAAAGGGGATCCCTGTGATTTTTGGGATAAAATTTGGTACACAAACCATCCATTTGGATGGGTTTGAGGCAAACTGTTCTGATTGTTGGTTTCAACCCGTCTGCAAAATATGTTCGTTGTTCCGGATATGTAATAATCTCAAATATGGTTTAACATAATGCATATGTGTCAAAGTACCAACCAGTTTTGATTTACAAGAAAATGGTTGGTCTTTCAATTAGATGGAAATTTGCTGGTGAACCACATCCCATAGGATCCATGTATGGTATATATGCTAACATTCGGTGTATATTGATGGTAAATGTATGTAAATGTTACCATTTATAGCATACATGGATCCTATGAGTATTAAACCATAGAATTTAGATGCTTGCAGGAAATTTCAGAGGCAAATCTGGTGAACCTTTTTCTGGGAAAGAAACTGCAATTTTCTGGGAATTTTCCAAAAGTTTGAGTTACCCGCAAATCATATGGTAAACATATAGTTGCCCAAATTTTAGTGTACTTACCCAAATGTGCAATTTCTTCCTTTAAAGTAGCCATCCTGGGGTCACCCACTGGTTTAACAGTCAGTCTCTGCGTCAACCCCCTTTGGCTTCGAAACCTTGATTGTTTCAATGTCTGGCTATACCAAAATTGAAGACATCTTATGCCCAACGAATCCTGGAGGAGTCTCAAATTTGGCACACTACCTGTAACATCACTTTCCCTGTTTTTCTGACCATTGAAATTGGGGGCCCCCAAAAGACCAAGCCCTATATAGGCTACATGAGAAAACCGAGGGATGTCCACAACATTCCCACAACATTCCCAGCCTCCAAGTCTGTTTTGGCTCGGCGGTCGCCGTACTTCTTCCGAATGCTCCGCACTGGCAGCCGCCTTAGGTCGGCACAGGGACGACTTGAAACAGGGAACACACCAACTGACCATCAAAACATATATATTATATGTAATTACACGAATATCAACAAGCATCAACTATTAACCAAGAATATTCAAGACTCAGAATAAATCAAAAACAATCAACAATCGTCAGCAACGATCGGCAATCAATCACCAATCATCACCAATCAACTTCAATCATCAGCAATCCACAACATTCCCCGCCAACAAACAGAAACAATCCCCTCATTCGTCACGGAATTGGAAGGAAAAACTGCGGGAATCCATTGTTTCTTTACCCCCAGTCCCAATTTCAAGGGTTTTCCGTCCGTATCTAGGACCGAGGACAGCGATTTTTTTCACAAACACTGGGTGTCTCAGCTCATCAAATCGCACACCCAACTTCTGGGGCTCGCCATCCAGAATGGTCCTCGCAAGCTGCATCCACATGTGAAAATGGAAACATGTCACACTAAAACCTCCATTTAGTTCGGATGATTTTTTCCCCACAAACCATGATGACCGGTCCGGGTACGGGTAGCTCAAATACCTCACAATTCTCACAATATCTCGTTGGGAACTTCGATGCAGGGATCCCTGAGCTGGATGCAGCCGTCCCGTAAAGGAGCTCCTTTGATGCTTGTCCACGGCATTCTCAATGCTCATGACATTGCGAGCCTGTTTTGGACGTTGCTTCACTGCAAAAACAACCCCAATATACCAATTATATAATGATGTACCAGGGCCAAATGATTGCATGATCGGGCTATTCGATTGCGCTCACAGTGCTTGCTCCACGTTTTGTTCCTGATGTCAAAATCATGGCAGTTCCACCATTTGTTAGTAGATGTACGCAGCTCATATCACTGCATTGCAACCATATTGGACACTGAGTATACCCTCCAGAAAATTGAAGACAACTATCCCATAGGATCCATATGGTATATATGCTAACATTGGGGGTATATTGATGGTAAATGTTACCATATATAGCATACATGGATCCTATGGGTATGGAAAAGCCACCATGTGCTTATCATGTTCCCATCATTCTCCCATCATTGGAGAAACTGTTGGTCATCCACAATAAAAACCACCGCATGCTGCACAAGTTCGCCTGGAACTTCATCTGCGGTATCTTTTCCTGCAGTGCCACCGGAACCATGCGTCGATGGGTCTCTGAATGGGAGAGTCACCATGATGGGGTCAAATGGCAATATCACCGATATCACCATCAGAGTTGGGGATATAAACAATCATTATATATAACTATAATATACATTTACATATATATATATATATATACATATGAATACTATATATATATATATATTAAATGATACAAATGGGGATACCCCATCATGTCTTTTTAATTACTGGGAAACGTGGCAACAAAACATTGGATTCAAGTCCAAACAAACCCAATGAGTCAAGTCACCAAAGACCCCTTTGGTGTTCATACCACTAGCGGCTCATGAATCGAGCTATACCTCATATGCTTCCGTCTCAAAATAAGGTACTGTACCCTGAAAATCTTTTGGATAGTTGATTTACCCATGAAAAAATGTGATTTTCCATAACCCATAGGATCCATGTATGCTACATATGGTAACATGGATACCATCAATATACCCCCAATGTTAGCATATATACCAGCACCATGGATCCTATGGGTAATGATGTTAGTTTACCAGAGAGTAGCCCAAAAATTGCCATGCGAAATGCTGGAAGGAAAGTCCTCCGACTCCATGGCCGCAGATGGCTCGAAGAGGGCAGGCTGGCGCAGCGCGATCACATGAGCACCACCTGCCATGCCCAGAAAAAAAGGGCATGTGATTATATGGCAATAGTGGTGGTCATAATGAGATATATTGCCACTCATATTGGAATTGAGATAATAATGAGATTATATCCTATTTTATAGTCTATATTGCCACTCAAATTCCAATAGTCATATCCTATTTCTATCGTCGTATGTCCGGAATTTTTTGGGGGCTTTAAATGGCAATTCTTGCGTCATATTGAGATAATTTCACCGTTTCTGTGCAAGACCATTATATATACTGTATCTACCCTACAGAATTTTGCTGTGGCACAAAGTTGAGAAATTCCCAGCCAGTCAACCAGCCAGCAAACAAGCTGCAAAACAGACACAGTTCTGGCGATCCCAATCTATGAATCTATGGCATCGATCGGTTTCCATCCGGTCCTTGAGAAATACTGCACAGTGAAGCTGCTTGAAAAAAACCATTGAACACGGGCTCGTCATTCAATATTCTCGTCACTTAAGATCATCACCAATTAAGGAGATTTTTCTCGGAGGACCGAAACAGCTGAAACCGCCAGCCAAGAATAGTCAACATTGATTGATTGCCCTCGATTGGGGTAACTCCCCAATTTCTGGGCAAACTCATATCGCATTTTTGGCTATATACATTAATACATATATCTATATACCCTCTGGTGAACTAACATAGCAATGGAAAATCACCATTCTTAATGGGAAAATCCACTATAAATAGCCATTTTCCATTGCTATGTTAGTTCACCAGAGGGTAGATTCCATAAACATATTCCCCCAAAATGCATAGTTTTAGCACACAAATGCAATATATTCGGTGAACATATTCCCCAACAACATGATTTGGTTTTCTCATGTTGTATCATAACCTCCATTTTGACAGGATTCTCCCATTTAAAACCATCCTTTATAGATACAGTAATTTTCCTGTATTGTCCTGCATTTTCTGACATTTTCCATAAACTATGATTTTGATAGGATTTCCCTGCATTTTCCTATATAATCCTCCATTTTGATAGGATTTTCCGACACTTTTTGCATTGAATCTTCCAGTGATCTGTGCCCTGCTCTGTGAACCGCACCGATGCCCAAGGACTGCGAGTCAAAGGCTCCGGTGATGATTTCCTGGTGTTTGAAGAGGTGATATACCCTCTGGCCCTCTGGTAAATTAAGGATTTCAGGAGAATATCATGAAGATATAAGGGAAAATGGGATATACCGATATACCCTCTGGTATTATACTAGGGATATCCCAATACTAGGTTTGACTTTGTCGCGTAATGGCAGCCTAAGGGAGCAGCGGAAAGGATAGAACCCTCTAGAATTTTAACATAGACCCTGAACATAACATTTTTTTAGTGGAAACTAATCTTCCAACCCCGTTTTCTGCTAGGGTCTATGTTAATTGACTGGAGGGTACGTCATGGTCAAATAGTGTTGCAATATCATTTCCCGTCATGATCTTCAGCAACTATCATAGTCAACTATCACGGGAAAAATCATGATCATTTATCATGGTCAATGTTCCCATTCTCAATTTGACAATTTGACAATCACATATATATATATGCATATATATTGGGAAAATGGGAAAATGGTGATTTCATAAGAATATCATGTGGATATAAGGGCAAACGGTGATTTCATGAGAACATCATGATACATCATGATTCAAGACTTACATGGGGATTATAAGGGAATATCATGGAGGTTTAACTATCAACTATAGGGATTTACTGGGTTTTAACAGGGTTTCAGGTATAATTAGGATGTATCACCAAGACTACCCACTAGACCCTGCCAGATAGGGGTTGGAAAATAAATTTCCACTAAACAAACTATAAAACATGGTGATTTTCAGGATCTATGTCAACATACCAGAGGGTATATTGATCTCAATGACTTTGATTATGGCTTTTGAATGCTTTTGATATAAGCCATATATATATATATAGTTATAAGGGATTTGACCTGATCCATTGATCTAGGTAGTCTCGAAGCAATCCCCTTGTTATCACCAACACTATGGCAGTATGGAAATAGTGATATAATCTCAAAATGGATGACAAACAGTGGATGTATATCATAGGGAAAATTGGGATTTTCATGGGAAATCATGAGAATCTCATATCATAAGGGAATCATATACCCACTATCAAAGCACATGAACATGAGGATTACACCAAACACTATGGGCATATCACGGGGATACAATAACAATAATTGCTTTCATGCTGCCGCTCACTTTCTCTGCCGTGCATGTAGGTCTTTGATATGCTCGCCTTGCGGCATAACACCTTTGAATTATGACCCTATGGTCTGTATCTCATTGGCCCATATGGCAGGGCAACAACTCATCAAACCAGCAGAAAAAGTCCATATGGCAGGACCTGCTGAAATTCTCTTCCCCCTGCACACCACCCCAGCGTATGGGATGGGTGAGGAGGGTCAGAGTGAAGAGCTACAAGCCCAAACGGCATCGAGATTCGCTGGGCATTCAAGCAAACAGTCGTGGCGACATCCATGCTTTCATGCTGCCGCTCACTTTCTCTGCCGTGCATGTAGGTCTTTGATATGCTCGCCTTGCGGCATAACACCTTTGAATTATGACCCTATGGTCTGTATCTCATTGGCCCATATGGCAGGGCAACAACTCATCAAACCAGCAGAAAAAGTCCATATGGCAGGACCTGCTGAAATTCTCTTCCACGTGCCCCGTCCAGCTGTGCTGGAGGCTTGGCAGCCTTAGGGTGCCGACCAGAAGGCACGGTATTGAGAGACCAGCCGCTGGGTGTGGGGTGTTGCGACAAGGCTCGGCAGCTGCGCCAGCGCATCGCACAAATAAAGGCGTGCCACAGAGACACTGGCCCAACGGCCTCTGAGTAACGTTTTCTCCATTAGCCCAAATTGGCTAAAAAACGCCGTTGCACCTCCGCGTCGGAGGCTATAAGGTCGGAACCTGAGGTGCTCGACTTTAAAGAAGGCCACCACCTGTGCAAATGTGTCACGAAATCTGGTGCCAGAAAGGTTCCAAATTGGCACCCTGAATAAGTGAGCCTCTCTTTTGGCGTGCACCAATTCTTCGAGGAGTGTCACCACCACCGGATCATCGATGGTCACTGACTCCCTGACGTTATGTCGGGTTCCTCCTTTACTAGCAGGGAGGTTTACAATGCCTTTTCCATGGCGCAACAGAAGGTCGCACGGCCTGATGGCCAGCAACTCCCCCGTTCTGAGAAAGCAGTGAAATCCCAGGGCCAACAGGCACCCAAAAACAAAGAGTTGATGTTGAACTGCGAACGAAACCATTGCCCACAAAAGGTCTTCCGGAATTGGTGGTGCCCGAGACGGTGTCTCCTTTTTCCGCCATGTCCCAAACAGGCGCCAGGATAGTGGAAGTCTCTTTCGGGTTGACGGCACATAGAAGTGGAGTCCACTGAGTGCATCCGCCACAGTGTTAATGGGCGCCCCCTGCTTGAACTGATCTTCAATCCAGTCACCAACCTGGTCATCCAAGTCTTCCATGTCACAGGCGGTCCGGACCGTCTTGCAAAGAAGTGAAACGGCACAAAAATATCGGGCTTGAGTGGCCTTAGTGATACCGGAGTCTCGTAAGACGATTCCCTTCCGGGATTCTCGCCTTGCACGGCGGGTTCTGGTGCCAGCAATGCTTTTGAGACGCACCATGGCTATCCTCGACTAGCTGCATCGGTGGGATTTTCCGAGGATTCGACATGAATTAAGATGGGCAATAAATTAAAACCAAATTCCAGGGCGGCGATTTTTCGGAGAATTGACATGAGCATCATACTGCTTGAACGACCCTTAGCAATAATGGACATGCAGATGTAGCTGTCGGTCAAATGAATAAATCTCACATTCGCTTCTCCCAAATGCTCGATTCTCCATCGTAGGGCCAGCAAAATGCTGCGCATCTCAAGTCGGTTTATGTGTTCTTGTTTTTCCCACCTGCAAGAGAAAACAGGTTTCCAAAGCCACCAACCTGCTGCTGCACTCTGTCGTGGATATGTCTTAGGGTTCATTATGGCCCCTGAAGTGATGCGTACATCCGACCCTGTATGATTAACTCTCGTCAACAGGGAGCGCGTCAGATGTCCCACCGTCATCGGGGTGCCTATAGCAGAACCATATGAGAGAGTACGCTGCAGCGGACAGGTGGCGTCCAGCGGCGCACAGAACCCGGGAGCCATACCCATACGCTTGGTGAGGTGCTCATAAGTCAGGGTAGGAAGGTAGGGAAAGCAGGAGGCCCAGGCGAAAATGACAAAGGAGAAGACGCTGAAGGAGTCGCCTATAAGGCTGCATCTTTGACCCTCAAAGCCTTGAGGGTCTCTCTTTATGTCACTAGCTGACCAACACAGGGCCGTGTGCTCCCATCCATACCCATGAAGCAAGTCGCGCTCACTACTTTCGAGAAGGCGCCAACCCTTCTCCGACCAGATCACATATGGGTCTTTGTATTGATATGGGGGGTATTTGTAATTGTCTGCCGCCCATCTTTCTCGAGCATCTGGGGGAGTACGCGAAAGTCCAGCAGGTGCTGGTGGAGGTCTCTGGCGACGTATGGCTTTCATGCAAGTGGGAAATACCGCATCAGCATCGTCTGGGGCCCATATGGAGTCTTCCCTTAACCACTGTTCATTCTGGGGGTAGGCAGCAGGAGCCTGGACTTCCAAAAAGTCGCCCTTGTCAGTAACATGAACGCCTGGTAGAAGGGGGAGTGAACGGTTCGTCCAACAGAAACGTGGCCGCGAAATAGGAACCGCGTCGGAGCACTGTACACGGTAGGGACGCACCCCCAACGACTCTGAAATTTCTTGAGAAGCCTTCTTATCCATGCTGGCCACATTTTCCACAAAGAAGTTGATGTTGAAATTACGACCAAAGACTTGAAGCAAAAGTTCATAGACCCGTAGCACTTCACGGAACAGACCACTTTCAGGACCATCTAGGTTGAGCCTATTGTACTTCACTGCAGAGAGGTCGACGCATGGAAAGCCTGCCCAAAAGTCAACCTGCTCAACGTGAGGGAATCTAAGTAGCCATTGGTGTACAGTTTGTCTTGTAATCTGTCGCACATCACCACCAAGTACTGCATGAGGCCACCTTCGTGAGCTCACCCTGTGCGCTGCTTTTGAGATGTCATACCCAATAAGACCTGCCACCTCGACACCGAGTAAGTCATACACACGGAATGCCCCGCCTACACCGTTGAACAGGGACACCACCAAAACGGGAACCTGCACCAGAGAGCCCCTAGGCCAACAAAAAGACCTTGCGAAGTCCTCACCCTCACAGGTCAGCTCCTCAGCCTTGCCCACAGCACCACCTTTGTTTGAAGCATCAGAGGCAGTCGCCACATTGCTGACGGTTGCCCCAAGAAAGGTATGAAATAAGCAAGCCCCCATCATAAGATACAGCAGCTCCCTACGCGCGCGCCCAACTGCACCGCCGTTGAGATCTTCTTCCCAGCAATCAACCTCCAAACCAGCGAAGTCCCAGCCATACCCGGTCGACGAAACTGAAGAACATGCACCCAGCGCCCCATAACCACTTGCAACCATTTCCGAGGGATCCAAGTTCTAGAGAGCAGCAAGCAAGTAGTTTGGAGCAACCTTAACAGCCTACCTGCAGAGGCACCGACCAACTGGGACACACCGTCAAGGTTAGCACCAAGCTCCTCAACTGCTGGGGCTCCTCTGATCTTTTTCTTCTCGGACGACAAGACACCTGCCGATGACCAAGCAGCCTCAGCATCTTGATGAACCTTCTCGACCTCCAGAGCCTGTGAACCTTTCTTCACCTTTTCCCCTGCAAAGAAGTTGTCCAAATACACATGGAACCATGCTTTATGTTGAGCCCCGGCTTCCTCCATCACTGAAGTCATCCAAGACGGGAGTGGGCGTGTCCTAAGAACCTGCTGCGCGCGCGAAAACCCATGCCTTTCCAGTAGTTGTTGGCTGATCTCTTGCATGACGCTCACTGCACTCGACCAACCCATAGGTAACACGCAACACGCAAGAGCATACTTCCTGCCTTTGACCTTTCCTATCGCAGACCCATCCTCTACCAGATTGAAGGCAAGGAAACTTTTCCACTGAGGGGGAAGGGCAAAGAGGTAGAAAGCGCTGACCATATCGCTTTGGGCTAGGCTCAAGCTCTCGTCCTCGCTCAGCGTCAAGGACATGTACTGCGAAATACTAGGGAGCTCTTGCACCGATCCCGCCAGTTGTATCATCACAGAGTTGGAGGGAATTAAATTCATAATAACTCGCAGGTGTGGACGTGAGTCGGGTAACGTGGCTGCTTTCGCAACCCCAAACAGTCCATTCAACACCTTTTGACCTCGATACTCCATCACATGGTCCAGTTCCACCCAGTCGCATATCTTTCTCTTAACTAGCAACTCAGCAACCCTCATGCGATCACCTTCTTGTATGTGAACCCTAGCTTGCAGCTTCGGCAGGGACTGCCCCTCATCAGGAGCAATGCATTCGGAGGGCCTATTCAAACAGGTTCTTGTTCTCCCCTTCGTCCATTCCAAAACCGAAATAGAACCGCCGTGCCCCTCGGGGGGCAGTGCTGGAAAAATCTGTTCAAAACTCAAACTCTCCATCTTTGGTACCTCTTCACCTGTGTAAGTGACGTACCGGTTCTTCAGCTCTTTTTCCACCTCGGCTGCCGTCCGACCAGCTTCGTGATCTAGCCGCAGCACTCGCTGTACACTGGCCTCTATATTCAAAAGGGCCACTAGGTCGCACTTACGCCAGCGGCCCCGGGGCGCGCCACGGCATCCGTGCAACCAGTTGATATAGAGCAGGGAAAGCAGCTTCCAGCTCTCTGTACCATGCAGAAAGGAGAAATCAGGCCCTAGGATTTCTCGGTATGAGCAGTGCATCAACCGCTCCACCAAGTCTTCCAGTCGGCCCAAACGCAAAGGTAAGGTCCCCCGTTTCAGGGACCGATGCACGGCAGACATGCCAGCACCCTGGAAAAATATCACGGGGAGGAGGCTTGACAAAGCAGTCAGCTTCCCCCCAGTCACCTCGTGGTGGCCACCTTGCACAACTGTCCAGGCCAAAAGAATGCCAAGCTGCTTCAACGACTTTCCGTCAGTGCAGCAATGTTCAAAGACCTGCCATTCTTTCATATCACACGGGAAGCGCGTCACCGGACAGCTTCCCACCTCTCCAGCCTCTACTTCTTGGCGTCCTTCTCCGCAGGCTTGGCCTCCTTGTTGTCGGCTTTCTCCTGCTGCGACGCCCACCAATTGTTCTTCTGGGGCTTGCCCCAGGCACCTCCTCCCTGCCAGTTCTGATCTCCTTTGCCTCCTCGCGGCCAGTCCTTGGTCTTGCCCTTTCCTTTTCCTTTGTTTCCTTTTCCCTTGTTGCCTGCCGGCCAAGGCTCCTGGTCTCCTCGGCCTCTTTTCCAGTCGTCGCTGCCCTGAGCCTTTTGGACCATCTTTCCATGACGGCGAGCTTCCAGGAGCAACGCAGCCGGGGCCCCCTGAGTGGGCTCCAGAGGGTGCAGCTCCAGAAACTGCGCCGCCCTCCAATTGCCCTCGTTGACGGCTGTGTGGAGGGCCAGGAAGCGGGAAGCAAGGGAGTCCCCCAGCTTCCCCAACTCCCCGGCCCTCAGCTCGTCGAGGCCGATGGAGAGATGGTTCAGCTCCTTCATGTCCCGGCTCGACGCCGGATGATAGGGCCTGACCAGGAGGTTGAAGTACGAGGTCATCTTTATGCCCCCCGTAACGGTCTCGTCCTGCTGGCTCTCCACGATGGCAGACTGGTCCATGGTGTGCTTCGCATGTTGTATCAGAAGCTTGAGGACTGCTCCTGGTTTCCTTACTGACTTCTTCTGCAGGGGGGCCAGAAGCTCCGACGACGAGGAGTCGCTCTCTTCTTCCCCGCCGCCAGAGCTTCCCGAGCTCTCGCCGGAGGAATCCCCATCGTCTCCTCCTTCCGCTCTTCTTTTCCTCTTCTTCTTCAGAGCGGCCTCTCTTCCTCGATCTTTGCTCCTCTTCTTTTCGCCAGTCAGGGCCTTCACCAAAGCCTTTACCCTTCCTGTGCTTGAGGACTTCGTCTTCTTCCGCTCCTTCCTCTCGGCCTCCTCTTTTCGGACCTCCCGCACTTGCGCGGCTTGTGCCAGCAACTGCAGTCCTGGGTCCTTGCTCCTCCTGGCTCTCACCTTCTTTTTCTTCTTCGTGGATCGTCCTCGGGGTCCCGAGTCCATTGCTTCTTCCTCGCCCTTCACACTGTCGGCTAGGGCCAGGGTAGTTCTGGGCTTTTTCGGCCCCCCCGAAGTATCCGGCTCCTCTGCCTCTTCCAGTGAGGTGGAGTCCTCTTCTTCTCCTCCTGAAGACTCCCCACTGGCGAGGACTTCTATGGGCCTCCCAGCCGTCTTCCTGCCACCTCCTGCCATAGCGCTCCGGAGCTTCGACAACCTCGCCCGCAACCCATCTGCTGCTTCTGCATGGGGTGCCGCGGCTCCAGCGCCAGGCTTGCTTGCCCTCGACTTTTCTTTGGCGGCTGGCTTCTTTAGGGCGCCCCTCCGGGGCCCTGAAGGAGGATCCTCTTCGCTGCCATACTCTTTCAAAACCATCCTCCCCCAGGGCTTCATATAGTCCGCCTCGAAGGTCTCCCTGTGGTGCCACCGGGCCTTCACAGCATGAACCAGCTTGGGGTCTTCTGCAAAAGAGCACGGGGAGTCCCGGCACAAGTGCAAAGCCCCCAAGCGACGGTTTATCATGCTGCTCAGGGTCTTGCCAACATCGTCGTTGTCGGACCCCACGCACCGCCCTTGCAGCACTAGGCTCCCATCTGCAGCCTCTTCCACCGCAAGCACCAGGAATGCAGCGATGGACAGGCTTCCCAAGTGCTGTGGCACCAGACTGGCTTCGAACTCCACCACGTCTCCTGGCTGAGGCAAGAAGTTCTCCCATGCATAGTCCGCATCTTCTATTGCGACCCATGATTGCTCGTTGGGTCCTCTCGCCCTGACTTCCGCCATTGCTTAGCGTTGTTTCCTCTCCCTGCTGTCAGGCAGGGATGGTCTCTGGTCTAGGTACTGACTGGGCAGTCCTCTATGGATCTCCTTGTAGGGGTCTTCAGCAAGACGTCCAAGTCTCTTGTGTTTGCGCCCAGCTCGTTTGTGTTTCTTTTTGGATTTCTTCTTTTTCTTGTCTTCTCTCTCCTCAGATCGCCTCTCTGGTTCACGATCCCTGGATCGCCGGCCTTCCTCCTCTTCTCGTCTGCTTTCTCTCTTCTCTTCTCGTGGCCTCTCCTCACTCCTCTTCTCTTCCTTTGTCCTCTTCAGAGGAGGCTGCTCGGCAGTGTCACGCCGGCTTCCCCCTCGATTCTCTGCAGGTGCCCTCACGAGAGGCTTGCGCTTGTCTTCCACGGCCGCCTCCTCTTCCTCCGGGTCGGTCTCGTAGGTGTAAGAGTCCTCGTGAGACCCTTCGTCAGCGGCCGGAGGTGTCACCGGTTTGGGGGCGCTCTTAGGTGCCAGGCCAGCTGAAGCGCGGGAACCCCCAGCTCCAGCTTCCCCAGCAGCGGAGGCAGCCGGGGTTCCAGCCCTAGGTTCCCCTTGTGCCCGGCCGAGACCAGCACTCAGGGACCTAAGGGCACGGACTTCCCGAGCCGCCCCAACCACCAGGTTTTCAGCTACGGCTCGCAAGCCAGCTGGGCCAGGCCACCTAGAGACAAGCTCCCTCTCGATGGCCTCCCAACCGGAACACCCCAAGCACCAAGTGTCACCGCTGACCCTTTCGGCCAGCTTGCACTTGGCGCACTTTCCACTCATCAGAGTGAAGAGCTACAAGCCCAAACGGCATCGAGATTCGCTGGGCATTCAAGCAAACAGTCGTGGCGACATCCAATGTGTATGTATATATATATTATATTATATGGGAATATACCACCAACAAATGATGTAGATGAGTACTGTGATATTTGTATCACCATGTTCATGCAAGTTTCATATTGATTATTGGTATGATTGGGGGATTCACCGACCAAATTGGGAGTCAATCAAGAAACATGATCAGTGTTCTCAGAACCTTCTGTCAGTCCATCTTACTGGTTGCTTGATAGGGATGTCAACCATGGATTATAATTACCATTAATTACCAATAGGTCCGTTTCCAACCCTGCGCAAAGTCCTTAGGTCCGTTTCCAACCCTGCACAAAGTCCTGTGAACTGACCTTGCAACAAACCTGCAAGAATTCACTATGACAGAGGCTTTGCAAATCATAAAACATTGCCAACAGGATGTTATTGTCCAAACATGAGGTATACTGTCTGGTATAATGAGGGTCAATCAATCATAAACCATCCCCCAATTTCACCCAAAAACAGGTGGTAAAAACTATAAACATCTACAAACCATTCCCAGTCATGGGTGGTGCTATGGCATTGTTTTAGCTACATCAATCATCATTCCGTAGATATTCCATAGATATTCCATATTCCATAGATATTGCAGTATAACCATTATCATAATCCCATATAATCCCATGATAGTGATAATATGTGATAATCAATAACTATTCTTCACTATATCCCTATTACCCTCTGGTAAACTAACATAGCTATGGAAGCCATGGCCCATAGAAATAGATGGTTTACCTATTAAAAATGGTGATATATATGGTATTTCAAACATATCAATGGAAATCCCATTATATAGTAATAGAATATTATAATCCCATTATATAGTGATAATCCCAATTACCATAATAATTATAGTGATAATATGTGATATTTCAAACATATCAACCGGGGAAACAACGCCAGCCGGAAACTCCACGGGGTCTCCTTGAGCTCCAACTCAGGGTGCAGCTGATTCTCCACCCAAGGAGCTTGCAGATCTTCCTGACGATGATTCAGCGTGGCCAAAACCGTGAAACTACCCATTTTTAATGTTTAAACCAACATAGCTAACATAGCTATTTTAATGGGAATCACATTTTTTATTTTTTTAATGGGAATCACTAAGAGTTTGCTATTGAACATGGCCATTCATAGTGAGTTTTCCCATTAAAGATGGTGATTTTCAATGTGAATTCCATCCTGGTTGGTGGTTGACCTACCCCTCTGAAAAATATGAGTTCGTCAGTTGGGATGATTATTCCCAACTGAATGGAACAATAAAATTCATGTTCCAAACCACCAACCAGCAATATTTTTTTGCCGTAGCTACCTGGCCAAATCATGAATTACTTTTCAAAATCTACATGTTGCACTTGGTAACTACAATAGTAATTACCATGTTGTACCGACTCATCATGATTCAACAAGTTCTGCATATCGAAAAATATCACGAATTTCACGAAATATCATGATATACGGTATATTCTATCCCATAGGATCCGTGTATGCTATATATGGTAACATTTACCATCAATATACCCCGAATGTTAGTATATATACCATACATGGATCCTATGGGTATTAATAGCTAAAACTGATACTAAACATATGGATCTCTCAGTCATCACCGGCAGCGCCGCGCCTTCCGAGAGTCAGAGACCTGGTTGGGCATCCGCCGATAGTCGGCGGCCTGGCTGGGCATCCGGCTGTTGCGAAAAAACGATGGAGAAACCATGGGAAAACAGTTAGCTATCATAGGAAAATGGTGATTTAATGAGGGTTTATGGTGGTTTAATGGAATTTAATGGGATTTACCCTCTGGTAATTTGTTACATAACTATGGAAAATCACCATAGAAATAGTGAATTGCCCCATGAAAAATATGGTGGTTTCCATAGTAATTATTGTTAGTTTACCAGAGGGTAGATTGATTGATCATGGGATGATTTTAAACCTATCTTCAAACAAACGCCCAACGTTTTCAGGAGCCGAAACTTAGGCCAATTCCATTCTGGGCGGACGTTTTCAGCCAACCTTGGGGAACAACCGATTTCACGGTGTTTTCCAATCTATCGTGTCTGGGTCTAGGTGCCTTCTGTTGGAGACATACCAAAAACATCCAAACACTTCACCCGCTGCAAGAGTTCAATGGATTCTTCATGCAAAAAAGTCAAGTAGACATTGTGAATTTGCAGCATATTCATCTGGTTGGTGGTTGACCTACCCCTCTGAAAAATGATGGAGTGAAAGTCAGTTGGGATGATTGTTCCATTCCCAACTGTTTCTGGAAAGTCATTCAAAATTCCATGGTTCCAAACCATCAACCAGTCATCCATTTTGCTTCAGCCCACGGGAACATGCCAGGTTGAAGTCCCAGCCAGAAGCCATGGCTTCGTTGCCATGTCACAGCTAGAGAAACTACATGAAACAACCGAGAACCAAGTTCTGGCATCAAAAGCCTGGGTCATGATAGAACTCAGTTCTCTTTAATAGTTGATTTTTACCACATGAAACCACATTTTTATACATTTTTGGTTTACCACATCAGCTAGAAAAAACACACATTTGGTCAAAACTAATGCGATAAAAAACATATAAAAACCAGCCCCCGAGGTTGGTCTTGCCTCGCGGGGACTGGGATATTTGAAAGGCTTTCGGTTGTCCTCCTGCGCACTGCGCCATGCAAAACCCTGTACACTGTGACCAAGTACTTATGGCCTTATGGCTATATGAGTCAACCCCCAGAAAAGGTAGAAGATAAGGATATTTACATAATGTTGACTTATCCTTATGAGGAAACATAATATGAATATGATATAATGATAGAATAATATGGATTTACGTATAATTTATCATTATTTTAGTTGGAATTGACTCTTCATGATGTTTCCATCTTTTTGGGGAGAACTTTGGATGGAGCTACCAAATGTCCCGATTTCAATTTGGGATATATATATATAATATGTATACACATATATAAATATATACATATGTACATATATATATATACATACATCATATAAATAAATATACGTATATAATCGTATATAAATAATATATATATATATGTAGCAAACTTACAATGATTTCAGGACGTCCTGTGGCACTTCCTGTCGAAGCATCCTGGCGGCGCAAGAAACCATCCTCGCCCTGAATGATTTGCACCAAGATTTACCCTCTGGTTATGTCAAAATAGCTATTGAAAATGGCCATTTATAGTAAGTTTTCCCATTAAAAATGGTGATTTTCCATAGTTATGTTAGTTTACCAGAGGGTAAGCACAAATCCAGGGGGCTCCAAAATGGACTGTTTTTTAGGACGAAAATGACAAAATTCTGGCTGCTGGTTGGTGGTTGACCTACCCCTCTGAAAAATATGAAAGTCACTTGATGTCAGTTGGGATGATTATTCCCAATATATGGAAAAATAAACATGTTCCAAACCACCAACCAGTATGGTTTTCACTTGCGATATTGATGATCATCATTGATCATCATTGATCCATATCCACATGCCAGTACTTGGATTGTCTGAATCCACATCGGGCTTATAAAAAGATGCACGTTCCGAAATCACACAAACACATTTATTGGACCAGGGTCAATTCTTGAATACCGTACACACTACAAACCCAGTTTCAAATGTCCGTTTTTTCCTGCCTTCACAACACATGCAGAAGTACAGTACCCACTTAGACAGGCAATGGAGTTAGTTAACTGGTTCGTAAACGCATGATTCCAACCCATCACATGTGTAGCTGTAAAGGGATCTAATCCAATTACTAATTCCTCAAAGCAGGTTGTATTCATTAGTAGCCGCTCTTTATGAACCAGTAATAAGCCATTGCAACATAAACAGTTTTTACCTAGACCCCATTGCATATCAATCTGGATACACTACAAGTACCGGCTATTGCGGGATGATTTTCCTTTATGAACCATCATTACAGTGACGTCGCAGTGAGGCCAATATAATTTGTCCAGATTATATCCATTATATTCTATAAGATACGCATCATATTACTATATTGTCCCATTAACATCCATTAACATCCATTAATATCCATTACAGTAATCCCCATTCAGATACATTAATATCCACTAATATCCAGAAAAATATCCAGTAATCCCCCAAAAATCTTCCCATGATGTTCCAAAAAACATTCCCAATTGTGGCCCATTATATATTCGCAGTGCATTCCCAGTGCCGCACCTTTCAGACCTTTCCCCGATTTGGGAAAAGCACCCCAAATCTCGGCCTGTCCAAGGGAACCTCCTTCTCCAGCAACGGGAAGCATCCAGAATTCCTCTCCGCTGAATAGGTCCATAGCTGTCCCTGGGACGCGATTCGCGGCGAACCGAGACGAGAACGCGCCAGGAATCAAGTGGCGTATTTCAATCAATTCGCCATTGAATGGGGTATATAACACGGTATATGCAATAATAATATATAATCAGAAATAATACATTTGAATAAAACATTTGTAATTATATATATACATTATACAGGGTTGCTTCCAACAGCCCACATACAACGGGGCTAAAGTGGCTGAATATAGAGGAAACAAAACACCAATTTTCCCCTCTTGTGGCAATGATCTGCCTACAATAGCTTGGAGATTTACAATTGTCCTGTTATACACTCCAATTTTTGGGAATCCAGCTGGTCTTGTTCTCTTGCCGCCTCATCTTGCATCTTCTCCCGCAAGATCCTTTTTTGCAGCTCGGCGCTATTCTTCGCCTGCAAAAACATCTGACCGTCGACCTTAGGGCCTTAGGACCTGAAGCTTTTTGGCGAGTGCCAGGCGTTTTTTTCCTTAAAACTCATGATGTTTCATGGAGAAAAACGTAATGATAGACCAGTCGAATTGGGGGTTCTCCGTGTAGTTATTTTCTGGTCTGCACTCAGTTTTGTCTCCTGTAAAATCCTGCAAACCTCTAGCTGCGCGCTGGAAATGTTGATCTTGCGCCTGACCGGAGTAGATGTGCACTTCCATACCAGGCCTGAAGATTTTGTAGAGAATCACAGGTCTCTAACCACCCAAGGGATCAGTTTTCTTATGCAAACTTGCGAATTTCTTGGTCACAAGTGTCATCCAATGACAATATGTCGTTGAAAGTCGGCGAAAGGTTGCCCAGATCATTTCAATAAATTTGAAACGTTCAAAAAAAACAACAGCATCTTAAGGAATCAACAAACAAAATAGGCACTTGTTAACATCTTAAACACACTCTGGGAATTTCTCAAAATGATGTGCGATCGAATCCCAAAAAAGTTGCATCCAAGAGGCTCCAGAAATGTCCGATCGACCTCTTTTTTGGGACCCACTCTACGGGGACTGGCCACTGCCTGGCGAAGGTAATAGGGGACCATCGTGACCATCGTGACCATGCCGTTGGTGACATGGAGAATGATAAGGATATCATGGAAACTCGATGTCTGTGATAATGATAGATGAGAATGATAGATGAGAATGATCATGATAGAATCATGGGATTTCATGGATATGTTCATATATGTTCTATGATCATGGAAAATCATGGAAAATTTATTTTCCTCGTCGATCAGAATTGCCACAGTCCACTTCTGGATAAACCTTGAACATGTTGTGTCGAAAATATCGCACGCTGTGACAACGTAACGTACGCACCACACCTTCATGTTTTGGCTGAGATCCTTCACTGCTTTCTTGTTTTGACCTTGGGGGCCAGTGGAAAAGGATCACAACACGGAGTCCCATATGATCCGTCTATGGATTATTTACCAATAATTATTTGGGTGATTTTTTGGCTGCTTACTTCCAGCACCATGGAGAATATTGTGGTATTACCTGTGGATATATGGGGTGATATGGGAGGGAAGTGTGGCCAACCAAACAGTATGCGATAAGCAGCATCGCCGAGGGCAATGTGAACGACCCGAGTTCTTGGAGGTGGGAAAAGGGGCCGACCGTATCACTTGCTTTTTTCTTATTTTTTTCTCACTAGTACTACAGTAAGTCTTTAACTTTGACTGAATTCGTTTTTTTAGCGAAGCCACCCGTTTTGAATCTAATTCTGCGCTTAAAACGGAAGGTACATCCACTCGAAGACTCGTTTTTCCTACTGTACATGTGCAGAAACAGAAGCCCGTGCCAAAACATTGACATCTGCTGTGTGGCTTGACATCAAAAAAGAGTGCTGCAGCTGACCCACATTGGTTCATGGATACATGGGATTGATATGGCTCAATGGCCATGAAACAATCACCATGAGTTGTTCATTGCAGGATGGTGCCCCCAAGTGATGTTTGTGGGTTTATAAACCCCATTAACTATAGTTATATCTGCCATAAACCATAGTGAAATGGGACTTATTTGCACCAACTTAGCTAACGAACTGGGGCACCACCTTGTGGCACCTGATCTCAGATTTCAATGGAGATTTCAATGGAGATCCTGGGCTCCCCAGCGCATCATGTCAGGAGTCTCAAACTTTCTGCATTCCAAAACCCTGACCGTTGCGGTGGCCACTTCACCACCAACAGGACCCACTTCTTAGCTCGCAGAAAATCCTGACATTCCCGTGGATCACATGGAGTGTAACAAAAAAACAACGATCTCCCTGATCTCCCTGGATTTATGGTCGGCCTCTCGTAAAACGGATTCACGCTTTCCAGCTTGGGCTTCATCACAATCTTGGCGTTGCGCACCTTTACCTGCGCAAGGGAAATCGCTTGCTGCTGAAAGGAACCAGTTTCGGAGGGCCAAACAATGGCAATGTACGAAGAAAAAAAACGTGACGTGGTTTCTGTCTTTTTTTCCTGCTCACATCATGGATTTTGTTCATCTGTCTTCACATCATCATTTCGCATCCTTTATATGGAGTTTCATCCCTTCCAACGGTGGACGATCATGGCAGGCTGTAACTGTTGGTTCTTTGTTTTTTCAATATAGAAACGATAGAAAGCCAGGAGATATTTATGTATTTAAGTGGCGAAAGATGTGGCGAAAGTCCATTGATGAGATGGTTGATGATGGTTGATCAAAAATAGTTTTCCAAGGTTCTGACCTGATTCTTTGACCGGAGCCACGGTCGGGGTTTGTCCAGAAATAGGGCACTCCCAAATCCAAGGCTTCCACAACTCATTTTCCAAACTATTTCATGTCCACAAATTGGGGGTAATTCTCCGATTTCTGGACAATATATCCTAGTATATGCCAAAAAAAATCATGAAAAAAAAACGCAGTAGGATGATTTGTATATATCCTCATATATCCTCATATATCCTAGATTATCCTATAGATTATCCTATAGATTATCCTAGATTATCCTAGTATATTCTCATTTTGCAGGACAGACCCATCCCATACCCATCCCAAATCAGGCCCAAAAACCTCCTCCACAATGGACCCTTCATCATCGTGCGAGCCTTCCATGTCCTCCCGCGCGACTCGCGCGACTATTCAACGTGGCTAATGATGGAAAATCATCATGTGGCTAATGATGGAAATCAAGTATAGCTCGGACATGTTCAATAGCTATCTTACCAGGGGATAATCTACAAGAAGAAGACTTGAAGAACCGATCATATCTTAGATAAAACATAGTTTTCTTAGATTTAACATCATTCTAAGTTTATGCCTTGTTTTTCTCATTTTTATGTTATATCGATAATATGGTCTTGGCATATTGGAGGAAAGCATCAAGACTGCAATCAACATCACTTTCTATTGCCAATTTTTTTCCAACAGTTCATCCCATCAAAATGGTCTCTAAAACATCAATCATCTCAATTCACTTTCTTCCTCATTGAATCAATGAATCAATAGCCACAAAAATCATGTCCGTATTCGTGACCCATTCGATAGATCTTTCTGACCCAAATATCTGTTATCAAATTCCGATTTCTGAAGCCATTTTCAGTCAAGAAATCCATCTTGATAAAAACTGTTAAATAATCAACATTACAATAATAGGTGATACAATCATTACGGTAGAACTGAAATCCATCTTGATAAATACAATAATATGGGAGCTTTCCATTACTAATTACATGTATGTCCATGGTGAGGTCGCGAGAAAAACAGCGACACCCAAGCTGTACTCAATTATCATCATTTCGATGCTTCAAACTCATATTGATTTGATGCTTCTATGTAAATCACCATATCTTGCGATTAATCAACAAAACAACAGACCAGGGTTTGGTGACATCTTCAGCCACTCATATGACCTGGTTTATCCTCTCATATTGCGCGCCCTTTTGATGGTAGGGCCATGGATCAACACCTATCTCACCATAAATCCCAGCATATCCGAGCTACCAGTATTTTGAGATGTATAGCCAAGGGGTGCAGGGTTGTGACCCATACCGTACCCATCATATCCATATAATGGTCAGATATGGTCAGTATAACTAACAGTTGGCTTCATTGTGTACTGAAAATAATCCTACTGGTACGGCTTCCAAAAAAAATCGTTCCGCAAGGTTAAGAAAAGCAACTTGGCTGAATTCACTCGTCATGAAACCAATATAAAAAACAAAAAAACTAAATTTCCTGTGTATTGGGAATATCTTCCCGTATTCCCATTGAACCCACGTCATCCCATTATCTCACAATATCAATTGGAAACCATGAAATCTTATACCATGTTCATCCCATGTTCATTCATTTTCAGATCTTAAATTTATGGGATAATTCCATCTTCATCCATTTTCCCCAAATTATGACTATAACAAATATATGGTATAACGTGGGTAAAACAATAATAACCCACCCATTTGGGAATGGTTTATAACACCTATTTATGGATATTTATGGTGGTTTGGGGGATGGTTTATGGCATTGTTTTACCCACATGATTCCACTGTAACCTTGAAGACCTTGAACCTCCCAGAAATTTACCCTGCCTCTGCCTCAACCGCTTCATTCTGGAAGGACCCTTGCCCTGATCCACTCTTTGCACTGCGACCGCTGCGCTCGCTGCGGGGCCGCGCACTGGCACCCCTGAGCTCCGAAAAAAAAAGTGGTCGAAAGGCTCGGTTTCTTCAGGGGATCAGCCAGATTTAAGCATCAAAAATAAAGAGTTAACCATCCTTTAATCCTTTACCACTAAAAATGAGGATTGAACCAACCTCTACTTCTCAAATGTTTTTGGATATTTTGAGATTTAGTTTGTGTATGGGATAAAACATCAACTTTGATGGGAGATCAGCACGCGCACCGGTGTTCGAAAGAATGGGGAGATTTTCCACCAACCAATAGTGGAATCGTCCTAATCATCATGGTATCATATAAGGACAGTTAACCAACAACATTACCCTCTGGTAAACTAACATAGCTATGGAAAATCACCATGTTTAATGGGAAAATCAACTACTATTTTGGGCCATTTTCAATAGCTATGTTAAATTACCAGAGGGTATATTTGGGGTTGGTTGATATTCACTCAAAAACACCGGGATACCTGGTGCTTACTGCCTTCTTCTGCCTTGAGCTTGAGCCATTTCGTTGGGCATAAAAAATTGACTCAGCTGATTCTTACCTGTCGATATGGTTCGTTGAATCCAGGAGATGCAAGTTCCAGACAAGGCTAAAGCTCCGACGTTCGCCCGGTCATTCTTGAACCTTTTGAATGAGCAGACCTGACACAGAAAGAGAGAATGAAGAGAACTCATGCCCGACCTACAAACATCAACAAACGCTTGATCATGTTGTATATCTGGCTGAATGATCACAATTCCCCAAGCTGCAAATAGCTGCTATCATACGACGCTATGGGGAGGATAAAATGTTTTGTCGCCAGAAGGGGCAGGAAACAAACCACCAAACACTATGGTCCGGTAGTGATATGGGTTTGTGATGGTGTATAACAATCGACACACCCATGTAGGCCATGATCATCCATGATCAAAACGTTCTGATGCTGGTCATCCCACCATTATTGGTAATTTGTTCCACTGACCATTATAATTCCCTCTTAGTTGTGTCATGACCATCGTCCCATATGAGAATATAGTTCACCTTTTGACTACTGATATCTTTTGATTACATTTGCTTATATATATATCCCATTAAATCCCAGTGTATATATATAATATATATATAATATATATATATATATCATATATTCTATCTCCATTAACTTTCCATTTTCTAGTCCCCAATCCACTGACTTGACGACTTCGATTTTCTGCGTTTCTAACTTGGCTCAAGCGACTTGGCATCGTCCATGCATCCACCATGGAGTTCCCGTTCATTCACAAAGTCTCCATACCTTCACCGGGCGCGGAAACGATGACGACGCTTGGGAGATTAAAAAAAGGGGAAGATCATGGGAAGACCATAGAGATATCATGGGTTCTACATTTTTTACGTTTTTTATATCATAGAATTGGATACATTGTAAGACTATATGTTATATAACGGGCTCTACAAGTATATCATATTTAGCCTGATCGAACTTCCAACAAAGCATAACCACAGTGTATCACAGCGTTACACCCGCAGTATTGCATTGTCCTTTTGGCGTGAGAACCACTTAATCCTCAAAGTTCAAACGTAACTGACAAACGTCATTCAAATATCCTTGGCTGATGCTGGTCCAACATGGTTTTTCACAGATTTTGACCAAACAAATGGCAAACATCCGAACATGCTTTTGACAAGTTGTTAATATTTAACAAACTTCGGCGTGTTCCGCCGGCCACCATGGAAAGAGCAATCCTGTAGGCTGCAAACAGCCCTTGCACAGGCCCAGCAAGAAAATGGTTTTTGTGTAAAACATGGTGTTTGTGGATAGCACAGTTTTCGTGTAAAACAGCTCTTTGTGTAAAAAAATGTTTGGACGCAAAAACCTTGGTTTTGTTCAAACCACGGTTTAAAATTAAACCAAAGCATGTGTGTAAATCAGGGTTTTGGAAAAGGCCATAATACTGAGAACGGCTTTGGGAAAGGCATGGAAAGGCTATACCCAGAAAGGTTATGCGTGTAGAAGGTGTTCGGCACACAAAAGCCAGTGGATCAAGTATTGGATATAAGAAGGGACGGGACAAACCGAAGGCAAACACAACAAAAACGGAAACAACCATCGATGATCGAAATGACAGCAAAATGTGCAAAACCAAGCCGGTGTTGAGCGAGGCGTGGGCAGAGTTGAGCCCACCACAACGTAAGGAAAGATCAAGGGGAGGGGGGGTTCAAGTTCGACGAGGCAAAAATCCGTGCCAAGGGGAAAGTCTAGACAACACAAAGACAAAACAGACAGTACAACTACGAACTTAAGCAAGATCCACAAGACACGCCGGCCGGCGGATTATTGGCACACCTTTCATCATCTGGTCCAAAAATCTGGTACCCGGAAATCCAATGGTTGATCATCAGTACCACTTTTTTGAAATGGCAGTTCTGGTCCAAAAACCCAATTTCTGAGGATTAAAATCCCTAAGTTCGGAAATGTTCTGCATGTTACATCCCCCATCCCCAACTTGTCAAAGCCAAATTGGGACTGCATATCTCATTGTATCCCCAACGTTGCTGGATTCACATCCCTTTTTTCCTTTTGGACATCCACCAAATCCTGCATGTTTGAAGGTTCCATCATGTCAAAACCCCAATTTTGATCCTTACCCTCTGGTAAACGTTCACATAACTATGGAACATCACCATGCTATCAATGGGTAAATCAACTATTTCTATGGGCAATTTTCAAGTTCGCTAACTCTAAACGTTTACCAGGCCGGGTAAGTCCTGCAATTTTGCTGCGTTGGATCCCCAGGATCTACAATCAACCCTCAAAAACTGGTCCACTTCAATAGAAGTCCCATGCTGGCAGTGGCGAAAACAGAGATGCTGGTGATATATAGGTGATATATCTAGAAAAATAATTATGGTTTATAGGTGATATATCTATAGCTGGTGGTGCAATAACTCAGCATCTTGAAAAATATGAAAGAGTTCCTCAATGGGAAGCATGACATCCCAATCATCCCATGTATGAAATATGGAAAATATAAACTTCATGTTTGGAACCACCAAGCAGCATGGTTTATATCGCCAAATTCCCAAAACTTTGAAGGCTCGGATCCAATTCCTTGATAAGCTGATCCTATGCTGACCTTGGAACCGGAGCTCATAACTAGTTATAACCTATTTGTACCCTCTGGTTATGTCAAAATAGCTATTGAAAATGGCCATTTATAGTGGATTTCCCCATTAAAAATGGTGATTTTCCATAGTTATGTTAGTTTACCAGAGGGTACTCACTATAGCTGGGATGAACCCAAATTTTCCAAATCACAGCATTTTTTTTTGGCGCAAATCCCATGGTCAATCTTTGACCGTCCACAGAAATCAAATTCAACTGTCATCTTTTGGTGGTGATGGTTATCTTCGCAAAAGAACAGCAAGAAACGAAAGGATTTTCCACATTCGCCATCCACTTGGGGATGATTTCTGATCAATGGACAGGCATCTTCTCAACCGCTGGGACCCACGCTGAGTCTCAATGTCTTCGATGCACACGGCACTCGGGAAGGAGTTCATGAGCTTCAGAACATGGATGCGCTCCTGCTGGGAACCGTCGGGAACCGTTAACAAATGAGGTTTATGCCTAACTGATCTTAACTGCTTAACTATATTTGGTTAATCGTTGGTTCGTACGGTTGACTACATTGTACAATATCTGTTCAATGACAGAAAAATTGCTGGTTGGTGCTTCGAGCCCCTCTGAAAGATATGAGTCAATGGGATGATTATCCCATATATTATGCAAAATTATATTAAAAAAAAAACAAACCACCAACCAGATTGTATTTAACTACCAAGTCATGGGCGATTGAACACAAGTTATCCACCAAATCATGGAATCATCAGCAACAGTTGGTGAGGATTTTAATAGCCACGATCGTCTTGAAAACGGCACAGCAAGTGGAATACCCTCTGGCAATGAAACCCAGCAATGAGTCCGACAATCCATTGATAGATGATGTTACCCTACTGTCGTTGGGAAGATCAATGGAATTCTTGACTCTGTATAAAATGGCCTTCGCCAACGATGGCAGAAACCTTTTTTGCGAATTCTCAAAGCGATGCCACCTATATCGACATCCAGCTCGATTTCAACATTCAAATCGTGGTTGACTTGCTCGCATCCTATGATGAAATTGCAAAGCCTATGATGAATCCATCACTTCATAGCGTAGCTGCTTGTTGTGTCCCGATACGATTGCCACAGCAAACACATCGCTTCTTTACGGGTAAAATTCCCACTTTGGTACACACAATTTTGATCGCCTGTCATCATTTATACCCACAAAGTTGGAAAATCTTGGGCAACAAAAACCAGCAAACACAGCCAAATCCTAGATCCCATTATACTATATATATATATATATTATATATATATCTATATTATACTCCCATTATGGTTGATTCATGTTGATTCTACAACCACTAACAAAAACCCCATTGTCGATGGTTGAAGCAAACAAAAACATCCGGGGGAACCGTTTCGGAAAAGGTTTCGGAAAACGCCGTTTCTCCGGTCCGCTCGTTTCATATCCATCAGCTGATTCAGGCCATGGCTTACTGCAGCATCACCTGGAAGAAGTATGAACAAGTGGTAACACAGCGGAAACAAATCGCTGACATCCAGTGGAAACCCAAAAAAAAGTTGAATTGGGGATCAGCATTTGGGGGTTTCCATATTTATATTGTACATTTTATACCACCCCCACACCCCTCCAGGTGAAACCTGACATCCATTTTTGGATACCACCATTATAAATATGAAAGCTATTGATTTGGTGATTTCGAAATCCAGGAGATGATCAACCGACCGCCGATCGAAAATATGTGGTGCAAGAAACTCATCCAACGTGACTCCAGGACTGGATGGTTGTGTGGAAAATCCAACTCCAACTCCAAATTCAGTAATCACTGCAATCCGAAATTCTATGGCCAATGTAGCATCAATATCAAACACTTCACTATTTGGAACCTAACATATTGACTGAAAAAGTGCCTCCAAAAACATCATCAAACCCACAATTTTTAGAAACTGCTCAACTACCCATCGAAGCAACGCGTGGTGAAACTTGCTGCTGAGGGACACTTGCTGGGCAGGCAAAGGTCAGGTCGTTGGGTTAAACCGTCCAGAGATTGTCGAAGCTTCACCTTTTCAGTGGGCGACCCGCGATTGAAGGTGATGATGGCTGGTTAATAGTGGTTGATGATGATGATGATGGTGATGTTGCTGGGGTGCATAAGGCCATATAATGCCCTATTAATGGGGATATCTATTGGTTCATAACCAGTTCATCTCCTTTAATAGGCTTAATATCAGCAAAAATGAGGATATCCGGATACCCTCACGGGTATGTTTTCATGGCAAACGTGAAACGTGATTATTTTTCCCATGTTTTCCTTTTTTGGTATACCCTGATAGGTCTAGATCTTTGGGGGGTCTGACCTGGTTTTGAGTAGCCTCAGATTTCCATCCAATCAATAGTCAATTCATTCGTGAACCATTCGTGACACAGGAACAAAAACAACCAAACTTTATGAAAACAAGATAGTCATTTAACTAACAAATAGAACAAAAACATAATAATACATTTAAATATCTAGACATAGATATAAAATTATAAATACGAAGAACCAAACAAAATGACGTCTGCTTCATCATGCTCCCAGGGACAGCTGAAATAATAAGTAACAAGGCGGGTGTATACTGCAGTCTTAGTCCAGCTCACTCCTCTTGATGATAACTGTTGATCTGTTTTTTGTTGGGACCATCACATGGATCATCATCCCATCATGTTGCGGACACATTCTGAACAACACCAAAACATGGATGAAACTCCCAACGCAGTGTTTTGCTTATATAATTCGTAGTCATACACACAAGATATCTATTTGTCATATTTCACTGTGTTTGCTTCAATCTCCATATTTTGCTGATTCAAAACCCACTCTTTTTGTAGGCATCTTGAGCAACTCACACCTGCTCTCGGACCCGTTGCCCCGTTATGAGCGACCTGCTTCAGCACCAAATTGAAGTCCACGTAGAGGCGCTTGCTGAAGCCAAGCTCTGGATTAAACAGCACCTCCAAGCGCTGTTTACGCAGAAAAACAAAAGAGGCAGGATATGATTATATCCAGGAAGCTGCGATAAGATTGATCAGTTATAATTAATAATTGATCATATTTGAACATGCTATACAATGATAATACAATGATATATACAATGATATATACAAAAATATACTATACCAGCTGAGACAGTTGATTACATTTCCATTTGATCAATGGCTAGAACTGCTTAGCTAACGGTTGAGATGGGATTTGATCGACACCGCTGGCAGCCACCTTCAACTTGTTCGTATTCTCCTCAGGCAACACCTGCAACTTCCCGCGACGGCTCCGAAAAGATGATCCATTTGCTCCAAGAATTGTTTTTTCATTGTGATATATGGCAGTGTGTCAAAACCTTGTACCCCTGGTGAACATCAAAATAGCTGGTAAATGGATGTTCATCCCCCTAAAAATGGTATTAATAGGTGTTGATCCATACCCATATAAGTTGTGGGCTGGAAATAGTAAGTGAACCCACTTGCTCATCCTAGTTCCGGTGGATTCCAGTCCAGTTCCAAAAGCAACTGACTGGTTGGTGGTATACCTACCCCTCTGAAAAATCATGGAGTTCGTCAGTTTGGATGTTTGTTCCATTCCCAACTGTTTCTGGAAAGTCATTCAAAATTCCATGGTTCCAAACCACCAACCAGCATTCATTAACTATACGTAGTTATATCTACCATAAACCACAGAATTCAGCCATTTATAGGTTCCAGTCACCACCAACCAGCTGATGAACTAATGTTGAGTCCTGATTAGTACCTAGGGTCGCTATTGTGGCAAATTTTTCCAAATTATTCTGAAACTCATGTATTGTTTGGAGGGTTCGCTTTTGTGGCAAAACAAAATTGGGAGAGCCCTTTTTTTTGCAAAAAAAACTGTAATTGCTGAGAGGCATTTTTTCTCAAAAACGCTGTAGCTCAGTCAATTTTTTGCTCATCTCCCTATCTGAGCCTGTAAATGCATCTCTATCTGAGTAGGTTTGTTTGCTGGGTTCACTATTGCAGCAAGCTGTGCCAGAGCAGCCCCTGAAGAAGGGAAGCAAGCCATTTCCAAAATTGCCAAATTCAAACTGCAAGCCTTTCCCAAAAAGAACCAATCCCTTATTAAACCCTTATTAAAGAACAGCTTTCCCACAATTTTCCAAGGCCCTGGACCAGTAGAGGCCCCATTTCACTTTAGTAGGTTTGTTTGCTGGGTTCACTACTGCAGCAAGCTGTGCCAGAGCAGCTCCTGAAGAAGGGAAGCAAGCCATTTCCAAAATTGCCAAATTCAAACTGCAAGCCTTTCCCAAAAGAACAAATCCCTTATTAAACCCTTATTAAAGAACAGCTTTCCCACAATTTTCCAAGGCCCTGGACCAGTAGAGGCCCCATTTCACTTTAGTAGGTTTGTTTGCTGGGTTCACTATTGCAGCAAGCTGTGCCAGAGCAGCCCCTGAAGAAGGGAAGCAAGCCATTTCCAAAATTGCCAAATTCAAACTGCAAGCCTTTCCCAAAAGAACCAATCCCTTATTAAACCCTTATTAAAGAACAGCTTTTCCACAATTTTCCAAGGCCCTGGACCAGGAGAGGCTCCATTTCACTTTAGTAGGTTTGTTTGCTGGGTTCACTCTTGCAGCAAGCTGTGCCAGAGCAGCCCCTGGAAGCCCAGAAGGGAAGCAAGCCTTTTCCAAAATTGCCAAATTCAAACTCCAAGCCTTTCCCAAAAGAACCAATCCCTTATTAAACCCTTATTAAAGAACAGCTTTTCCACAATTTTCCAAAGCCCTGGACCAGGAGAGGCTCCATTTCACTTTAGTAGGTTTGTTTGCTGGGTTCACTATTGCAGCAAGCTGTGCCAGAGCAGCCCCTGAAGAAGGGAAGCAAGCCATTTCCAAAATTGCCAAGTTCAAACTGCAAGCCTTTCCCAAAAGAACCAATCCCTTATTAAACCCTTATTAAAGAACAGCTTTCCCACAATTTTCCAAGGCCCTGGACCAGTAGAGGCCCCATTTCACTTTAGTAGGTTTGTTTGCTGGGTTCACTATTGCAGCAAGCTGTGCCAGAGCAGCTCCTGAAGAAAGAGAAGCAAGCCTTTTCCAAAATTGCCAAATTCAAACTGCAAGCCTTTCCCAAAAGAACCAATCCCTTATTAAACCCTTATTAAAGAACAGCTTTCCCACAATTTTCCAAGGCCCTGGACCAGTAGAGGCCCCATTTCACTTTAGTAGGTTTGTTTGCTGGGTTCACTATTGCAGCAAGCTGTGCCAGAGCAGCCCCTGCAGAAGGGAAGCAAGCCATTTCCAAAATTGCCAAATTCAAACTGCAAGCCTTTCCCAAAAGAACCAATCCCTTATTAAACCCTTATTAAAGAACAGCTTTCCCACAATTTTCCAAGGCCCTGGACCAGTAGAGGCCCCATTTCACTTTAGTAGGTTTGTTTGCTGGGTTCACTATTGCAGCAAGCTGTGCCAGAGCAGCCCCTGAAGAGAAGGGAAGCAAGCCATTTCCAAAATTGCCAAATTCAAACTGCAAGCCTTTCCCAAAAGAACCAATCCCTTATTAAACCCTTATTAAAGAACAGCTTTTCCACAATTTTCCAAGGCCCTGGACCAGTAGAGGCCCCATTTCACTTTAGTAGGTTTGTTTGCTGGGTTCACTATTGCAGCAAGCTGTGCCAGAGCAGCCCCTGGAAGCCCAGAAGGGAAGCAAGCCATTTCCAAAATTGCCAAATTCAAACCCCAAGCCTTTCCCAAAAGAACCAATCCCTTATTAAACCCTTATTAAAGAATGTGTAATTACAAGTACTAATTACAAGTACTAATTACAAGTACTACATGTACTACATGTACTACAAGTACTACAAGTACTACAAGTACTATAAGTACTACAAGTACTACAAGTACTACAAGTACTACAAGTACAAGTACTACAAGTACTACATGTACTACAAGTACTACAAGTACTACATGTACTACAAGTACTACATGTACTACAAGTACTACAAGTACTACAAGTACTACATGTACTACAAGTACTACAAGTACTACAAGTACTACAAGTACTACAAGTACTACAAGTACTACAAGTACTACATGTACTACAAGTACTACAAGTACTACATGTACTACAAGTACTACAAGTACTACAAGTACTACAAGTACTACAAGTACTACAAGTACTACAAGTACTACAAGTACTACAACTACAAGTACTACAAGTACTACATGTACTACAAGTACTACAAGTACTACAAGTACTACAAGTACTACAAGTACTACAAGTACTACAAGTACTACATGTACTACAAGTACTACAAGTACTACAAATACCACAACTTCATCGGCAAAAAAAAACAATAGTAATTAGATTTCAATTGTAGCCAATTGAAATCCTTACTTAATTGAGGATATGTTTTTCTTTTGGGAAGAAAATTTTTGACTTTCTACTTTAAAGAGAGTCCAGAAATAGTTTAGGGGGGGGGGGGCACACACTAATCAGGACGCAACATTATTCGTTTATTTTGAAGCGTGAACCATTCACTTCCAATCCAAAGGCATCATCGCGGCGACGCACAAAGCCTCCCGCAGTCTCGACAAAGCTTTGCCGTCACGTAGACACTCGACCTCCGTTGACATTTTGAGTAGCAACTTTCACACTCATACTGCTGTACATATGCTGTACATATGCTGTACATATGCTGTACATATGCTGTACATATGCTGTACATATGCTGTACATATGCTACTTTCCAACCTTCAATCTTGGGTGCCAGAAGGAAATTATGCACTGTGATACAATGAGACTGTCAATGAAAGCCGACATCTGCAGCAAACGTGCACCAATGGCCACCGGTGCACACCCTGAATCTAGGCATGCCACAACGATGATCCGTGCTCGCCGGTCCATGACAATAAAACCTCACAACCACTCACGCCCACAGACGAACCAGCATGATTGATATAGATTACATGCTTGACAACCTGAAAACATTTGAAAACACATTCAATGGTGTATGCATCTCTACATCTTGAAGTGCAAACAGTCTTGCGAGTCTTGCCTGACACATCATCCATGCCGAATCTCAGTATCTTCATGTATCTTCGCCACATTGAAATGCGTACTTTACGTGGAAAATCATGGAAAATCATGGAAACATCGATACAAAATGATACACATGTACGAGTATTTTGGTCATAGGATCCATGTATGCTATATATGGTAACATTTACCATCAGTATACCCCCAATGTTAGCATATATACCATGCATGGATCCTATGGGTCATGAATCTATTAAAACAAGATCAGCAGACGTTTCCGATGAGATTACCCGCCTGTCAGGATGTCCAAGTCCAGTTTTTTCCTGGCGCCGAGAAAATTTCAGCAGGACCGTGACCCCAAGAAGAGACGGTGAAGCATTGAACAAGTGGTTGGTGGTCAAAAAACCCTTAATGAATCTCCTCCAGCCAAAATTTAAAAGAAAAAAACACCCCCCCGAAGTCATAAGACTCTTAAGTGCAGGAATTTATACTTATTTGGAAGATTCTGGAACCATTTAGGTAGTATTAAATATCAAGGGAGTGGGATTCACAGTGGGGTTGTTTGAATCCCCAGGAAAGTTCTAAAATTCAGCTGGGAAAACTGTTCATCGTCCAGCTTCACCGTTGCGATGGCACGTGCCTGCCTCGGGCGTTCGTTAAAGGCGGAGAAAGTAACCATCTTTTCGATGATAAAATAGAGGTATCATGGTTTCTTTTTTGAACATTTTGGAACAACCAACAAAGCCCCATGCTTAGAACATGTATATATATATATATATCATATGACAAACTATATATATATGATATGATATATATATATGATATGATATATATATATAATGATATGATATACATATATATATATAATATTATATATACGTGATATATATATATATATATATATATCATATAAATATAGATGGTATATAGAATATGTACACCTTCCTAGAATGTCATCAATTGGAGTATCCCCTATTTTTACACAAAACCGTATCAAAGAGAACCGTACATTCAGTGCACGTTGCTACGCAACGCCTTGGCCCCACAACCAAGGATTTCAACTCGTCCAAAGCACAGCCACTGCTGATGATTCAATTGGCTCTACCACGATCTTAAAAAAAAAGGGAATGCCGGAATATGGGGGAATTGCTTTTGATATTGAATCAGCATGAATCGGCCATATCCCAATGTCAATTGATTAATATTTATAAGGAATAGCATCCCAATCAACCAATGTCGGGCCTATATCCCAATCATGTGTGTTAAACGGCAGCTGCAAACCATCTTCCGTCCTTGTCATCAAGTTGCTGAAGAAATACACACACATATGTTTACATGAGTTTTTCAGGTGTTGAATCAAGACATGAAAATCCCTCCAAAGATCTATCTATGCTGAACATGCATAACTATGTAGTATAGTTATGTATAGACTTGTATAAATATATATATATATATTAATATGTGTATGTATATATATATATGTGCCCTCTATACATATTTTACATCACCATGAGGAAAGCCAGCGTCAACACAAAACCTACCGGGAACATATCGACTGAGTACAGCACCCGATGTCAAGTTCCATGGCCTCCGCATTGTGTTGTTGAACCTGGGCCCCGGGTGGTCCGGAACACAGTGGGGGAATGATATCCAAATCATGGTGGATTAACCATGATGTAACATGATTTAACTAGCTCAAACATGGTGGAAATTCTTGGGATGTATATCAATCTAGCTATTTATCCAGCTACCTATCTATCTACCTATCTATCTGTTAGGGGATCACTTCAAGCACCGGAAAGCGGATCACTTAGAGCGCCAGATCACTTAGAGCACCATGGGATCACTTAGAGCACCAAAAAGTGGATCACTTAGACCACCAGAGAATGAGACCTTTAGGTTTCAACTTGGGGACACGGTCACGCACTCACTTGCGCATCCGAAATTTCACTCACTTGCGCTGCGCACCCAAGGCAAAACATGTCACTCACTTGCGCACCCATAGTCGGGTGGGTGGGGGTGGGGTGGGATAATAACGTCCATGTTCCTGTGCACACACAGGCACAGCAACCTCATCATCTTTCCTGCTGTCATGCAGACACAGGCACTGCACATGACCCTTCACTGACATGAATCCGTCCCATTCATGCATCCCGCGATTCCACGCCAGCCCTGGATTGCCATGCTGACATGCATGCTATATGTATATATATATATATATATGTCTGTGTATGCGTCACTGTGTATACGTGCATGCATGCTACGATGCTACCATGCTTGCATGCATCCATGATCATCCATGCATGTATTTGTGTCTGTCTGTATCTTTGTATCCCCCGTTTCTGAAAGCTATGTGTATGTATGCATGTCCGTATGTATGCAGGTAGGTATGTAGGTATGCAGGTATGCATGTCATTGCGCACGCGGTGTCTGTGTTTCTGTATGTTGGTGTGACTAGGTAAGCGAGCATGCAAACATGTTTGCATGTATGAATGTCTGCATGTATGCATGCGTGCATGCATACATGTGTATAGGCATGCATGCATTCATGCATGCATGTATGTATGCATGTCTGTATGTGTCACAACCACGCAAATGCAAACGCATGACCTATGGGTGTACTCGAACGCAAATACTGTGGAACACTGAGAGGGTCGGAGAGCAGAATCACTTCGATCGCCGGAAGGCAGATCATGTAGAATGTGGACCTGCGTGCATCTATCAATGTCACTACGTGCGTGCTTCAGTGCTCCAGCGTGTAGGCACGTATGAATGTGTCCATTCATGATCATTTATGTGTCTATGTCTCTGTGTATATATGTAGCTCTAGCGCTATGTATCTCTTATGTGTAAGATTGTGTAAGTACGTGTTACTTTTCGGCGTTCCAAGCGATCCCCTTTCCGGCGCTCGAAGCGATCCACTTTCCGGCGCTCCAAGCGAACCCCCGACCCTATCTATCAATCTATCTATCTATCTGTCTGTCTGTCTGTCTATCTGTCTATCAAATTCTATCAATCTATCTTTCTATCTGTCTATCAAATTCTATCAATCTATCTATCTATCTATATACTCACAACAACTGGACATTACTGGAAGAAAAATGGGATGTATAATGTATATAACCTTGACCAGTGGGGAATGTAACATTGAAAAACGGCTGATGGAAGTGTCAAACCGAGAGATTCATAAAATTCTTGGGACATCATGGGGAAATAACTGATTCGTTTATCCAAAAAGTTGTGGATGTCCCATACATTATGACTTTGCGAGACCTTTATGAGGAACATTCTGATAAACAAATCGGATTAAACGGGTACTCTATTTTCAGACCAATAGACCAAATAAATGGGAGAGAGACATATACCCTCTGGTAAACTAACATAACTATGGAAAATCACCATTTTTAATGGGAAAATCCACTATAAATGGCCATTTTCAATAGCAAACTGTTAGTTTACCAGAGGGTATGAATTCAGAAACATGCTGTCGACTTGCAGTGATTTTGCTGAAGCTTCAATTCTTCAATCCTTCCCATCAGAGGCCAGCACTGTTTGCAGAATTTGCTTCACTACAGTGGTCCTGGCAGCCAGGATTTTGCGCCATACTCAAACCATGGAAGATTATGGAAGAGTGAAAAAAAACATGGCATTCTCAAAAAAAAAAACATAAAAATCCTGCTATTTGTCTATCCAAGGTTGGGGAAAAGATATGAAAAGATATGAAAAGATCTGGACTGGCCATCCACAATCCCTCAAGTGACTCAAGTCGTCAACCTGGGATGGGACATGACTATTTCTTGCCGCTCAAAAACCCTCCAATTCGTAGTTTCGAAATTGGAACAAATCCAGGTACTCTCTGGTAATGTCACATCGCCATTGAGAATCACTATGTTTCAAACATCATGGTAAATCATGGTAAATCATCTGTCAATGTCCACTTTGCGATGCTAAATGACTCATGTCTAGTGTGGATAGCTATGCTAAAGGTACCCGCAGGTACCCGCAGGTACCCCATTGGTTTTTCCTGAGGCCAACTGCGGCCAAAATCCGCCCAACATGCCAGCCACGCTTGCGGTAGTCAACCACCACCACAAGCCTGGCAAACCTGGCTGAAGGCTCTGGGATCATCAGTAGAGCTTTTGTCATGGGGCTAGCCGCTTAGTCCCAGTCATCCAAGTCATTGGACCAGCATTGAAACAACCGACTGGTGACAAATGGGGATCACCCATGACTTAAGCAACCTCCATTTATCATCATTGATCCCTGACTTTTTTGGGGGAACCTAGTCTTTTCGAACCATAATTATACTCAAATCACCAGAAAGACACATGAAATGGACATTGAAATATCATCAAATCCCATGTGCGCATAACATCAACAAACAGCCTACAGTTGCAAGTCTGGTCGCGACATCAACCCGAAACAGCAGTTGCAAATAAGATCAACAACATCATTGGGACGATCATTGGTACATTTGGGATACTTTGGGAACATATCAACAAAATATCAACAAATAATATCAGACATCTGGAGTCGCAATTGGCACTTATAAATCTCAGCCATGGAGCCTTTCGTAGCGAGGAGTGCTCGGTTCCATTGCTTCTTCGACAGAATCGGCCTTAACAGGACTTGTCCACACACTAGAACTTGACCACACGACAATTGGCCGGTGCAAAATTGTGATACCCTTTCGAGCCATAAAAAGCACTTAATAAATATATCCTGTTTGCATCTTATTAACTACCCTCTGGTTATTTAACATAGCCATCATGGAAAATGGTCCATTTATAGATGGTTTACCTACTAAACATGGTGATATTCCATGGCTATGTTAAATAACCAGATGGTATCCCAAAAATCATTGGGGTCCATGGATATGGAAACCTGAGACATTCTCCCAACGAGTTCCTGAAAACGAGTTACGATGGGAACCCTCGTGTCGACGCACAAAAATTGTTCTCAAGTTTCTCCAATTCAGAGGCTGCTTCACTGAATGCAACCATCCATATTCATCAATCGTAACATGATCAGCAAAAATACAGACAGGCAAGTTTAAGTTACTATTTTAGTATTTTCTTGGGGACTACAAACAATCTTATGTCCCCGATACCCCAAACATATCCTTTCCATCCCAATCTCCCAAAAACCAGGGCACTGACCTTCTTTGGTGAATCCTCTTCAGCGGATTGTTGGGAAGCCTCCGGTGGCGCTGCCTCAAGGTCAGTGTACCCGATTTGCACCCTTTCAGGGAATCATAGTCACAAAGTGGATAATTATGATAAATATATGACAACCATATCCATATCATAACAATCACATATCTACGGCTTTGTCTAGAGTCTACTGTATATATCTCAATATCTACTGGTTGGTGGTTTTAACCCCTCTGAAAAATATTAGTCAATGGGAAGGATTATCCCATATATTATGGAAAATAAAAAAATGTTCCAAGCCACCAGCCAGGGATACATTTGGATCATCTTTAAGGAGCCGCTCAAAGTGTTTCACCCAGGCACCTGCAAGTTAGCCATTGGCTGTGCCAAAGCTGCCTCAGCGCGGCCGAAAAATGCCCCGGGGATGTCTCCCCTCAAAAAACTGTTTTTTTTTGCGATTGAACCATCCATTTTGAGGGGACACATGCTCCATACCCAAAAATAGCTCAGTGAATATCTGCATGTGCGAAAAATGCGGCAACACACACACACACACTACCATCGCAGACTCAACTAGAAAAGAAACGCAACATTGCTATACAATGAAATACATTACTCCTAATAGGATTCCTGAAGCCTCTCAAAGAGAAGGAAACTGACGACACGTATCTCCGCAAACCGAACAGTGCAACTGAAGCGGCGACAACAAGTCATTCAGTACAAGGTGCTACCCCCCAGAGCTATAATTAGCATAAGCTGGTTTATAATCTATAATAACCATGCAGGGTATTTCATATATCATCATATATCTATCACGGCCAAGCGTAGATAGCCTGCAAAAAAAAATACTCTACTTCGTGTGATCCCCACCATGACATGTCAGGACGTATATTTGGACATATATTTAGTATATTCTGACATCCTATCTGACATATATTCTGGCATATATTCTGGCATTCTATCTGGCATATATCCTGACATTCCACCTGGCATTCTATCTGGCAGTCTATCTGGCATTCTATCTGACATATTTTCTGACATTTCATCTGACATATATTCTGGCATTCTACTGTCATTTATTCTGACATATATTCTGGCATTCTATCTGGCATTATATCTGACATATATTTTGGCATTCTATCTGACATATATTCTGGCATATATGTTGGCATTCTATCTGGCATTATATCTGACATATATTGTGACATTCTATCTGACATTCTATCTGGCAGTCTATCTGGCATTCTATCTGGCATTCTTTCTGGCATTCTTTCTGGCATTCTATCTGGCATTCTATCTGGCATCCTATCTGACATTCTATCTGGCATTCTATCTGGCATTCTTTCTGGCATTCCTTCTGGCATTCTATCTGGCATTCTATCTGGCATCCTATCTGACATTCTATCTGGCATTCTATCTGGCAGTCTATCTG